TCTTCCCTCCTGCCTCCAGGCCAAGTTCCTGCCTCTCTGGAGAGACGATCTGCCTGTCCACCTCCACCCATTCCCTCCCTCCTTCTAGCAGCAGCTCCCTCAAAGAGAAGAGGAGACAGGCAGAGCCCCACCCAGGCCTCCCCAGTGTTCGTACCACGCTGGCTGGGCTCATGCTGGGCCCCGGGGACACAGAGGGGAGCCACAAAATGCCCACCTCAACCTCGGCCACAAGGAGAGCTCACCTGACCTTCGGACTTCTGTTTGGGGTCCTTGCAGTCCTGGGAACCTGCCTCCCCTCTGGGGCTCCAGGGCTGGAGCTCGGGGCTTAGATGCCACAGATCAGCACATTCCATCCCCTTGGCCTGTTATTAGTTTAGAAGTGGACACATGACCCAAGCTAGTGAATCTTGGGGTTTTAGCTGGGATGTGAACAGGGAGCTTACAGCCTTAGGAGCTGCATTTTGGGACCTTCGGATGAAAATGGAACAGCAGAGCAAAGATACAGAGAGAAACCTGGTTCTCAATGATACAGTTGAGCTGCTGGATCAAGCCTCACCTGAAAGCCAACTTACCACTGGACTTTTCACCACATGAGCCAATAACATCCCTTTGTTGTTTAAGCCATGTGGGGTTGGGTTTTCTGTCTCTAACAACTAGAATCTGGATAGGCATGGGAGGGGCTAAGGCAGGGGGTGTGTGGGTCTTCCTGTCATAGCCCCCGGGATCTGAGCCCTCAGGCCTGCAGTCTGAGAAGCTGGCCCTGTCTCAATACATTCCTGGCCGTGACTCGTTAGCCTGTGTGACCAAGTGTCATTCGGCACAGCTGCAAGTTCCTGGGTGTTTTACGAGGAACGAGAGCTCTGGGTCAGGAGCAGTTGTGCTCCGTAGTGATGCACGGCCTCGTGAATTAGCAGGACCACATTCTGACATTCCTTCCATTTCCTTCATCCTGGGGCCCAGTTCTTCCTGTGCATCATTTAGAGGCAGCAACAGGGGTCGGATGGGTGGGCATCGCGGCACCCTCTGTGCGCCAGGGCCGGCATCGGGACCAACGCTGCCCGGCAGGGGCCCCTCCCTCTCTTCCTACCAGCGCCCAGCAAACAGTCGGCTCCATCCGCATCGCTGGGACAGAGCGAACGATCCTGACCTTGAGCCCTCCCGCTGGGAAACTGGGGCTGTTTCCATGTACCTGAGGCCCTGTCGGCCTCAAGGTGGGTCTAACTGCTCCCTGGAGCCCAGCGGGGGCCAGGTGGCATAGGCATATCCCCTTAAACACTGGGAGAAACAGCCCTGCCCCCGAGCTGAGCCCAATATGGGAGAGATTTCAAGAGGAGTTAAGAGTCCAGAGAGAGACCGAGGGCTCTGGTGACATCCATGGCCGGCGACCACCTCTCCAGGCGGCCCTGGAGCGCTGGCCAGTCAATGGGATTAGATAGTCATTTCAAGATGCCCCCAAGGTCCTGCCATGCCCCAGCCTCCTGGAGGCCCACAGAATGGCTGATCTTTAAATATAGGCAGCGAGACTTCCTGAGAGCCACCCTCCCAGGCAGGGAAGGAGCCTTGTCCTCACGGGGCCCCACATGGCCCCTCCTCAGCCCAGTTCCTGGTTTCAGGAACACAGACTTGTGGGCCATGCCCGGGGTGCGGGGCGGAGCAGTGCTCCTGGGGGCGAGGCGGACACAGCCCTGGCTTCATTTCTCCCCGCGCCCAGGAGCTCTGGACAAGCACTGCTGGGGTGCCTCCAGGGTCTGAGTAGCCTGGGCCCGCATCTGTGTGCTGCTGCCACTGGCCGGGGCCAGGGCGGCCTCTCCGACTCCAAGCTGCCGCCTCTGCCGCTGTGCAAAGCGGGTATGGCAGACCCTGCTTCTCTGGGAAGCCCTGTGGGCGGCGCCTCTTCTGGGCAGACCCCAAAGCCACACCTGTTGTCTCTGTGCGCGTGGGGGACTCAGTACAATGACCTTGAGCCTAACGAGCCTTAAGGCACAAACCACACATGCAATACCGTGCACACATGTATACACACACGCACCAATCACATGCACACACGTGCAAACCCAAACATGCTCACAGATGTGTACACTTACACACATGGCCCTCACCAGTCCTGGGTAGCCTCCGCTGTTTCTTTAGGCTCTGCCACCCCTGATGGCAGCTGGCTGGACCCCCGGGACCCGGAGGTGAGACCCTGACAGGGTCACGGTTGACAAGTGCTCACGGCCCAACCCAGTTTCTGCGTCACTTGCACATGTCTGGAATGAAACTGACCTCTGAGACTGGTGCTGGGTCAGATCAGAGGACACAACTGCGCCCCCAGTGGACGCTCGCCGCACACGCCCTTCTACTCTGAGGAAGATGTTACACAGGCTGGGTACCAACCTCGCCTCCACCACTTACTGCCTTTTCGACCTGGGGCAAATTGCTTACTTGTTCTGTGCCTCCGTTTCTTCACCTGAACAACAGATGCACATCAGGAAGAGCTGCACTGCCGTGCAGTTTACACAGGATCTTCCTTATCGAGCCCAGGGCCTGACTTCAGACAAGCAGGCAGGAAGCGTGGGCCCCTGGCCTGGAAGGGGAATTGGGGTCCTCCTTTCACAGATGGGGAAATTGAGTCCAGGAGGCAGGAGCGCTGTGTCCCGGGTCCCACGGTGACTTCACGGGTGAACTTGTGTGGCCCAGGCCAGCCCCAGCCTTGCGCAGCCATTTACCCCGAGGTTTGCATATTGCTGCCCTCGTATTCCCTTCAGTTTTACTCATATCATATCGAGAGCTTCAGCAGCCCTGGGGAGGAAACCACAAAGATGATCACATTACTCTAACTGGAAATTAATGTACTGCCGGCAGGTCTAGAAGAAAAACAAATTATCTAAATATTTCAGATGGGGTAATAAAACATTTCCAGTTTGCAGCTGCGTGTTCTGCTCCATTCACCACTTCAGTGCCCAGACTGATCCTCTGTTACTTGGTCACTGAGCCAGCCTTGAGATGGCAGAGAGAGGCAGGGGCACCACGGATGCTGTGAGGAGGCAGGCTTGCCCTGTCCTTGCAATGGCCACCTCCCTGCTCTTGGCCCTGGGGACGAGCGTAGCCCCAGGCCTCCAGAGCCTGAGGTGGAGTAGGGGTTGACCTTTTAGCTTTATGATCAGAAAACTGAAAGTTCAGCCTCTGCTCGTTGTCTGCACTAGCAGTGCCAAATGTTGGCTTCCGCTGTGCCCTTTCAGGGACCACCTTCCGTCTTCCTCTCCTCCCTTTCAACATCCTTCATAGCCCGCTTCCTCCAGGGAGCCCACGTGAGGAATCCAGCACGTGGCTCTCGCTCTCTGAACTTGTGGAACCCACACAGTCCCAGCCCCAGGGTCTCGTGCCGAAATCTACACTGTCTCACATTGTCCTTGTGTAGACCCTATGGGTGCCCCGTGCACATCACCTCAGTCCTCTTGTTTCTGTGATGCCAGTGGCTTCTCACTGCAAGCCCTGCTGGCTCCTTCCTGAGGGCTTCCCCTGGCTGCACGAGGTGCTCATGCTAAGCTGGGCACAGGGTGGGCTGGAAGGGCCAGGAAGCTAAGATAACCCTCCAGGGCAGCTTTCAACCAGCAATGGAGGGAAATGCAAATGAGATAACCCAGCATACATGCCAGACACTGGAGCTCTCACACTGCTGGTGGGGTGTGAGATGGTACAGCCATTTTGGAAGACTGCTTCACAATTTCTTATGAGGTTCAACATACACCTCCCCGATCACCCAGCAACCTAACTTCTAGATAATTATGCACAAGAAATGTTAAAATATACCCATGTGAATTTCGGGGCAGCTTTATTCACAATACCCAAGACTCAGAAATGACTCCACTGTCCAATATGTGAGTGGATAAACAAAGAGTTATATTCATTTAACGGAATAGTATTCAGCAATAAAAAGGAATGAAGTGCTGACATGCTATGACATGGATGAACCTTGAAAACATTATGCTAAGTGAAAGAAGCCATTCAGAAGAGTACTTATTGCATGATTCCATTTACATGAAGTTCTAGAACAGGTAAACTAAGAAATGGGGATAAAAGTAAGAACAGTGGTTGCCTGTGATGGAAATGTTCTATAATTGATCATGGTGGAGGTTACACTGCAGTATGCATTTCTCAAAACTCATTGAACGTAAATTGTTGAATGTAAATTATACCTCAGTAAAAACGTTCGTACTTGATCACTCCAAAAGTTCCATAGATCAATGAAGAATATGTGGAATACACATAAGAGCACAGAGTAAAAACAAAACCAAAAATCGCTTGCAGTTATACTCCCCAGAGATCATCACTCTGGACAGTTTTCTTTCTACAGTCATATTTCCCATATTTGGGATCCACACTGCTTTGCAGCCTGCTTGCAACGTCTCCAGCTGTCCTCCGTGCCCCCCCCCCCTTCTCCACCTCAGACTGCACCGGTGGGCCTGGCCAGTGGGAGGCAAAATCGGGAGACCAGAGGGTGAGAGGCCAGAGAGGCCGGTATTTATTCCTGTGCCTTCTTCTACTAGGTCACCTTGGGCTGGTCATGCCCTCAACAAAAGATAACAGCTCCTCTTGGGCAGTGGCCCTGAGGACACTGCCCTTCCCGAGTCCGGGAACCCCTCCTTCCCTCTTTTCCTTGGAGTCTGCTGACGTCACAGCTCTGCTGCTCCAGCCCTGGGTTCCCGCAGAATTCCTGCGGTGCCCTAAACCCGCGCATACCCTGCTAACCAGCCCCCTTGTGAGTAAACGCCCATGAATCGTTCTAATTTGAGCAGGCCATCAGTTTCCCGTCTGATCCTGACGGCGCACCGCTGGTGAGCACGGCTGTCGGTCCCCAGGCTACCGCGGTCCCCGCTGGACTAGCAGCTCCGACACAGCAGCCCGGAGGAGGACGCGTCCCCATAGCTACGGGGTGAGGCAGCGCTTCCGGCCAAGCAGGCGGGGAGGAAGGCCCGCCCCCGCCGGCCCATCCCCGGCTTCCCGTGAGGCGTTGCGAGGCGCGACGTAGCCGGAAGCTGGTGGCGGTGGGGTGGGTGGTCGGCGGTCGTCCTCGGTGCGGTTCGCGGCGCGGCCGACCCCGGCCAGGACCCCGGCCCTGACCCTGGCCTGACCCGGCCCGACCCGGCGCGCAGGATCGAGCCCTCTGCCCGGTAAGCGCGCGGCCGAGGCCCCGAGGCCCCGGCTCCCCTCGGGCTGGTCCACTGCCCCTGCCGGCGGCCGCCTCCGCCCAGACCCCCACCCGCTCCGAGGCCGCTGTCCGCAGGACCTGGAAGCGCCCACCCCGCCCTCCCCCGGCCACCCCGGGGCTAGTCCACGGGCCCCCGGCCGTCCCCCCTCCTCTGGCCGCCCCCGCCTGGACCCACACGCCCCCGCAGCTCGCCCCCGGCCCCCAGCCTTCTTTCCTCTGAGGCTGTCACGGGCCGCTGCCCACCAACACCCCCTCCGTGGGGCGAGCCGGCCCTGCCCCGTCCCTTCCTTCGGCACCAGGAGCTGGTTTGGACACAGGGTCCCGTCGGGCCGGGTCTGAGCTTTGAAGGGGCTTCCACTCCTAAGAGGGAAGCGTCCTCCCCCTCGGTTTTGGAGAGGCCGGTCTAATCGGAAATGGCAGCCTCACCCTTGGTGGCCGTGGGTGATCGTCTTGGGGGAGGGAGAGGAAACCAAGAAGGGACTTTGGACTTCTCTGTCAGTGCCCGTGCGTTTAGGTAGAACTGTGCTCGTCTGCCCTGTTCAACAGCTTCGTTGCTGACCACCCATGTGAGAGTTAATTGTGTCGTTTAGTGCAGGCCTGAGGGTTCTGCCATCCTCTGTTTCTGTGCCAGGTGGGGCTGTGATAATGGCCCGGGGGATAATTAGCGTTTAAGTTGGCTTTGGCATCCCTTCCTGGGACCATACGCTGCAGAAGTTCAGAAGTGATGGTGTTTTAAGTGAGAAACAGTTGTTCTTCGGTGTAGGTGCTTCGGGGGCCTCAGGTGGTTTCTGGGGAAGATGAGCAGGATTTCTGCCTGTCGCCTGTGTAACAGCCCCAAGCGGTGTCCCTAAGTCATCCCTTTTCATCTCAGGCATTGAGGAAGTCCCAGCTTAAGGAACAGCGTTCTGCCGGCTGACAAGTGGCTTTTTCCTGTAAACTGAGAAGTGTTATTTGGTTCACCGTTTACTGAGGCCACGTTCACTTGCACAGAGCTGGGTTTGGTTTCAAGCATTAATGCAGGAGTTCTTAGATTATGTTTCAAGACAAACTATAGTTTTGAAAGTTAGGAAGTGTTTGTTTTTTATGTATTAAAGTTAGCATTTCACAGAAGTAAAGGATTCTCACGTCCAAAAAAAGTTCCTTTTAAATCCGAGCCAAGTCATTTAGTTTTCACGTATTTCCTTTGCTGTACTTTTGCAGACACTCTCTCTGCCTTCTTTTACGCAGTTAGAAATTCAGGGCAGGCTCACCCGAGTTGTGACTTTTGTTTGCCTGGGTCCTGTTGGCCAGAACGGGAGCCTCTGGGCAGGCACAGTTCTCTGGAAAGAGCTCCCAGGGGCCACCCATTTCTGCCTTCGCCCTGTGGGTGACTGGAGCTCAGCGTGAGGACAGGATCCCGCCTGGATGGATCGGGCCAGGTGCTGGGTGCTGGGCAGGATTGTGGGTTCAGGTGTTTGCCTTTGAGACCGTGATGCACAGCACAGAGAAATACAGAGAAGAAAGGCGCCTCCGGCTAGCCCTTGGCTTTGTTTCCCTCAGTTACAGAAAGCAGACATTTGTCTCCTAACCTCAGCTGGCTCAGAAGTGGGCGTTGTGGGCGTTAGGCATCCTGGGGCTCAGGATTCAGGAGGCCTGGGTGTGGGGAGAGGCAGGGTCCCCTTGGGGAGTAACCGAAGGTGACTGCTGCTCATGGGACTTTCACGCTAAAGCATTGGCAGGGAAGCTGGTTGGAGCAGTCCCTCACAGATGGTGGGGTGCAGGGTCGGAGGCTGGAGACACCGCCAGCAGCCCAGGTGTGTGGCTCTGTCCCTTAAGCGGCCTGTGTGTCCTGAGAGGACGCATGCTGCCGGGGGAGCTGGAGGGACAGCCTGCAGGTCCTGGTCACGAGGGAAGGGCCAGCCTGAGACTCAGGCTGGGCATCCATGGGGTTACTTTACTGCCGACACCACCCTGGGCTCCCTCCCCATCCCCCGCCTGAAACTTACCGGGCCACCACTTGAACTTGAACTTTGCCAAAGCTAGGAGGTCTATAGAGAAGTAAATGGGTTTTCTCTTCAGCTCAGGCTGTGTGGCTGCTGTTCCCCGGCAGTGTCCCCCTGAGATGCGGTGGCAGGTCTGCTGGTCCATAGGCCCCTGTCCTTGCCCTGCTGTGGCCATGCTGTCTGTCACCTCCATCCTTCAGATGGTCCCTGGGAGGCCAGCTTCTTCCTGTGTCAGTCGGGGCCACTGCTTCCGCCCCAGGCCAGGAGCCTCCCTGCACTGGTAGAAGTAGAGGGGCTGCGGGGGCCGAGAATGTGGGGCTCCCTGGCTTCGGATACTGTCAGCCCAAGTCTGATGTGTCGCCCTGAAAAGGGGAAATGAGATTTAACAGCCAGTCTGAGCACGTTTTGTGAAGACCACCCCTTGCTGTGAACTTCACCAGAAGACGGGTGTTTTTATAAATCGTGTGGTCTTGATGGTACATGATGAGCAGCCTCCGGTAATTGCGCATTGCCCCTAATAATCACGCTGTGGTTGGCCCGGGAGCATCCAGACTGATCTCGGCTTTTCTTAGCACGTGGAGAGCAGGTTCCTGCAGTAAGTAGCCCTGTTCCCCTGTAGCTTCCAAGCAGCTTCACGGAATTTCTTGAAGTCATACTTTGTAGTGTGTTTGCACCAAAGGTTGATCTTCTTGTGAAGTGACCTATTTGGAAGTTGAAAAGTTTGTTTTTCTCTTTCACAGCACCATGGCCAGCCCGAGAACTAGGAAAGTTCTTAAGGAAATTAGGGTGCAAGATGAAAACAACGTAAGTGTCCGCTTTTCCTTGACACTTGGCTTAGGTTTTGGGGTCCTCTCAGAGTTGCTCGTGGCCTCAGAGTCCTCCCTCCCTGTCACCGTTGGCCTCCCAGCCAGCCTCCCTCTGCCCCCTCTGGGGGCCCCCCATTGGGTCTTCGGGGTCCCCGGGCCCCGCCCCGCCCCGGGTGAGTCGCCTGGGCGCTCTTCGCAGGTGTGTTTTGAGTGCGGCGCCTTCAACCCTCAGTGGGTGAGCGTGACCTACGGCATCTGGATCTGCCTGGAGTGCTCGGGGAAGCACCGCGGGCTCGGGGTGCACCTCAGGTCAGTGCCCTCTGCTGCCGCCTGGCGGGTGACGGGAAGGTGAGGGCCACCCCCAGGCCAGCTCCTACCCGCTCCGGCGCTCTGGCACAGGAGGTGCACGTGTCTAATTCCAGACTGTTTGGGGTGGGCTCTTGGATGCTGGTACTGGTGGCGAGGTCGGCCCTCTGGTGTGTAGCTTTGTCCGGTCCGTCACTATGGACAAGTGGAAGGACGTGGAGCTGGAGAAGATGAAGGCCGGCGGGAACGCTAAATTCCGGGAGTTCCTGGAGTGTCAAGAGGTCTATGACCCCTGCTGGTCCCTGCAGGAGAAGTACAACAGCAAGGCCGCCGCCCTCTTCAGGGACAAGGTGAGCACAGGCCGCCCGGCCGTGTGCAGGCTGCTCCAGCCATCGGCTGCTGGAGTGGTTCCAGGGGCTGAGATCTCCTGTGGGTTCTGACACGACACGGAGGCCATGTGCAGTCCACACACAGACAGGACGTGTGGCCCCAGCTCGCCCCACCCAAGGAGAAGCAGGTGGCCTGTGATTAGGAGGGCTGAGCCCTCCTCGCAGCCTCTGGGGAGCGCTGCATCCATTCAGGGGGTGCAGAGGGGGCCCGGGCGCCACACCGACCAAGAGCTTGCTCACTCTGCCCATCGTGAGAGCCAGTCTCAGTGTCGGCACCCGCAGAGCCCTGGCCCGTGGCAGCTGAGCCCGAGGGGCTGTGTGCGGGGCAGGCGGCATCCATGCTGCCTGACGCCCTGGCTCCCTCTGCAGGTGGCCACTCTGGCCGAAGGCAGAGAGTGGTCTCTGGAGTCATCGCCCGCCCAGAACTGGACCCCGCCTCAGCCCAAGACGCTGCCGTCCTCTGCCCACCGGTAGCTACTCGTCTGGCCTGTGGGCCGGGCTCTGGGCTGGGTTTGCCCGGCTCTGACCTTAACTGTGGCTCAGGGTCCCTGTGCTGTTGTGGTAACAGCTCCAGTTGTGAGCTGTTTCTGAAAGTCAGTGGGAAAAACAACTTTTTAAGTTACAATTCAAACTTTTAGTAGAAATTCAACCAGTAAAGGTACGTCTGAAGTAGAAGCACCATTCCCCATTCCTCAAATCTGTGCCCACAGCACACGGCATCTCTGTAGGACCCAGTCTGTCTGCTGTTTATGTCTCCTGTCCTGCCTGAGGGCTGCCCACGTCCCCAGGGTGACCCATCCCCCTGGCGGTCATCCTGTGTCCTCTCGTGGGTTGGAGGCTGGTGTTCCGGGGTGACTGGTCTCAGAGAGAGCTCCCTGTTGACGCCAGGGGTGCCCAGCGGCCCTCCCCTCTGCCTCCCCCTTGTGTGGCGAGATTCCGGTCGGAAGGGTTCCAGATTCCTGCCGAGCGCTTGCTTTGGCCTCGACCCCTGCGGCCTCCCTGCAGGCATGGGCAGGCGTGGAGCTGCTGTGCCCCCCACCCTGGGCTGCAGCACCTCCCCCTGCTTCTTGCCGGCTTCAGCCGCTGAGCCTAAGCCTGAGCCGCCCTCTGCTCCAAGCTTTGGAGGAGCCAGGTGTGAGCAGGTGGGCGTGACGGCACCTCCCAGAGACCCTCGTGATCCTGTGGGCGTGTGCCCACCCCATGTCGGCCTCTCTGACCTCTGACCCTCCATTGCAGAGCCTCTGGCCAGCTGCAGAACTCCACCGCCTCCGCGGACAAGGCTTTTGAAGACTGGCTGAACGATGACCTTGGCTCCTATCAAGGGTAAGGCCTCCGGAGGGCTTGGGGGAGCTGGGGGAGGCCCAGGCAGACCTGGGGCCCCCGGGGAGGCTGCTGCCCACATGTGCAGGGGGTGCAGAATCGGCAGGCCTCCCGGGGTGCTGCCTGGCAGCCCAGGTTCGGGTGGGGAGCTTGAGTGGAGAGAAAACCGCGGCTCAGAATGCTTGGGAGCAGAAAGGACGTGCTTCCTTCCTGGAACCTGCCTGACCTGTGGTCGAGCCTGTCCCACTCCCTGCAGTGACCGGCTGTCGCTTTGGGTCTCGCCAGGTCCTCTGGCAGGTGCAGCAGGAGGGCCTCGTCCCACCAACAGAGGAGAGCCTGACCCCACACTGGGGTGTGGGAGCCGCACGTCCTCCGGGGTGCCCGTCCCGGGTCTGGGCACGTCCGCACCCCCAGCTGTCGGAAGCAGCAGGGCTGTTGCTTGTGTCCCCACCAGGGCCCAGGAGAACCGCTACGTGGGGTTTGGGAACACGGTACCGCCTCCGAAGAGGGAAGACGACTTCCTCAACAGTGCCATGTCGTCCCTGTACTCGGTGAGGACGCCCATCCTGGCTGTCCCCCGCTCCCCAGGGGCCTCCCGGCGCCTGGCCGTCCTGGGATCCCGCGCTAGCCCGTCTCACAGAGACCCCCCTCCCTTTCCTTCACTGACGTCTCTTCTTAAAGCGCCGCTTATGGTGTTTAATCCCACGCGTGTTTTGTCGTTCGTTTACTTTGGCTACAAAACACGTCCCTCAGATTTAGCAAGGCTCGTTTCCTCTGAGTGGAGCCCGCCTGGCCGCCCGCTCCTGGCAGAGCCTCCCAAGCATGTGGATTCTGGGCCAGGGCTGCCCCAGGGAAGAAAGGGGCTGTCGGCCTGGCACGCCGTGCAGGAGCCTGTTCTCCAGAAGCGCCTCCCAGGCTGTAGTGTGTGTGTCTCCGTGTCACCCCGCCCCGCCATGGGGAAGAGGCCGCACGCACTTGTCTTCTCAGTTCCTCGCGAGGGTCCCTCCACGTCTCCTTGAGATGGAACAGGCCGAGTTGGGATTTAAATGAAGAGTTTCTATTTCCAAATTGCTTTCACCTATCTTGGAGGCTTAGGGGAAACAACCTTGGACTTAGAGGAAGGAGGTCAGCTTTCAGTGCCCCCAGCGCCCCGTGGTCTGTCTGGAGGGGCAGCAGGGCACTTCGGGGGAAGGCATGTCTCCAGGGAGCCGGGCCAGGAGCTGCTTCTGGGGCCCTGGCTGTGTCCTTCCCACAGAACGTGGGTGCGAGGCGGCCGGCGCGTGTCTGAGGAGCACTCCCCTTGGTGGCCACGTGTGGAGCCACCATGTGGCTTCTGTGTCACTTCCTTTCAGGGCTGGAGCAGTTTTGCCACTGGAGCAAGCAGGTTTGCCTCAGCAGCGAAGGAGGGTGTAAGTAGCCTGTCCCGTCATGCAGCCACGCAGGCCAGGTGGCTCTGGGAGACCAGGGGGTCCTGACGGGGCTCAGGCCGCACGTCCATCTGCCCTGAGGGGGTTTCGGTGAGCAGCCTCTCGCCCTGGCGAATCCTCCAGGCCCCACGGACGTTCTTTGTTGTGACGGTTGGTGGTGTACCGGGCAGAGCGGAGCTGCCTGCAGGGGCTGGGCTGGCTCCAGAAGGTGGGTGCCGGTGGGGCGTCAGGGTGACCCAGGCTTCCCTGCTTCCCCCTCCCCCGGCCCAAGCAAAGCCTGGAGTTTCTGCTGCTGGGTCTCCAGGGTATAGACAGCCTGAGTTTCCTCTTGCCCTCGCCTGCTCCTGGGCTTGAGGCGACGCAGGATTTGGGGGTTTTGTCAGGACAGGCAGCTGGGCCGTGGGCACATGCTCGGCTCCTGGCAGTGACTGGGTGGAGGCCAGGCAGGAGGGGCCAGGCCAGAGGCGTGTGCGAGGGTACGGGCCTGGCGAGGAGACCGTGGCGTGGCAGGGACAGGAACGCCCGGAGCAGGGACGGGAGGCCGCCTGGCAGGCTGACCCAGAGCACACGGGCCCTGGAGAGGCCAGGACGGGAGTTTCTGAGGGCCAGAGCCTGGGGAGGAGCCTGCCACGTGGCCTCTGCTGATCCTCTCCGGGGCTTTGCGGGGCCGCGGTGGGGATCCAGGCCTTTCTCTCTTTGCTTATGAGAGCGGCCGGGGTGCTGGGCAGAGGTGAGAGGTGTGACCAGACCGCGCTCGGCAGCGAGGGGGAGAGCTCGCTGGAGAGGGACCTGCCCCACCTGTGGGCCCGTGGGCGGCCTGTGCGCCCTGCATTCCAGAGCAGGGAGGTCGGCGTCAGCCCTGCTCCCTCATCCTGGCTGCCCCTCCCCTGACGGCCTTCCTCCAGGGGAAGCTGGTGTGGTGGGCAGCTTTGCAGGGCCCCTTAGAGCTGCTGTGGGGCGAGCACCAGTGCCTCGCAGCCGTCAGGAGACCAGCATGGGTGTCTGGGCCCCAAGGACGTGCAGCCCTGGTGGCCAGCGTCAGGCAGCTGACCAGAAAGCCCTCTCTCTGTGTTTCCTTTCAGGCGACAAAGTTTGGATCCCAGGCAAGTCAAAAGGTAACAAAGGAAGCCTCTGCATTCGTGCTCTCAAGGGTTCTAGGCTGGTCGCACGCTTCGTGCCTCGCGCTCAGGGGAAGGGCGCTTCCGCGGGCAACTCGGGCACTGACAGGCCCGTGCGTGCGTTCGCCTCCCAGGCTCACATGTCCACGTGTCACTTTGGGCGCCTGCGGGTTAGCAGGTGGAGGAGGCTTAGATCCTGCCCCTTCCCTGGTAGGCGGGCAGCCATAGGCCCCTGTGCCCTTGGCCTCGTGGGGAAGGAGGCTCTGTGCCATGTCTGGGCAACCGCACACGGGAGGCCCAGCGCCCCCCAGGGGACCGGGGTCTGCATCCTGTGGCAGCAGCGTGCCTCTGTCCCTGGTTAGCGCCCTCCCTTCTCGTGGGCGGCATCTCGGGCCCTGGTGTTCGTGTTTTTCTCACACCTTGGCTGGCAGCCCCGGTGGTCCCGGCGTGGTGCCAGGCCGTCCAAGGAGCCTCTGGGGCCACGCGGGCCCCCTCACGGCCCAAGGGCTGATCTCTTTGAGCCCCCATCTCGACTCCCTAACCGCTCGCTCCTACCATGCTGGAAAGCTCCCAGGTGGGAGGTGCCGGGTCTAGAGAGCGTGCGGCGCCCACGGGACCATGTCCTGGTTGTTGCCAAACACCGCTCCCACCGCCTCGCTCTCTCTCCCACCCCCCGTCTCCCCATGCTGTCTGGGTGAAGTTCTGGGGTTCCAAGCAGCAGCCAGATCTGGTAAGGCCGCGTCCATGCTCGTGCACGCCCCCCCCCCCCGCCGCATGTCTGGCGCGTGCCCCGCTCTGAGGTGTCTGCGCCGCGGCTGCATGTTGGTGCTCCCTGTCTTCACGCTCAGAGCTGCTCCCCAGCCCGATGGGCTCCCGCGTGGCCCATCCACGGTGCTCGGGCGTCCACGTCTCAGGCAGGAGGCGCGGGATCCGGAACCTGAGGCTGCTGCTGCAGCGGTGCTGGGGAGTCCTATGCCAGTGGCGAGGGCCCCGCTCCGTGGTTGCCTCCCCTCTGTCCTGCCTGCCCCCCACCTGAGCTGCTGGCCTGGGCTCGCTCCCCAGCTCCATCCCCTTCTGTCCGAACTCCCGCAGGGCCCCTGGAGGGCAGGTGGGGCTTGGGATCCACCCGTTTGTGTCGGGGGGATGCCAGGGGCTGTTCTCCTGGGATGGATCCTGTGGGCTCCGACGGGAAGAGCCTGATGGTGGCCACCGGATGGGGTGGGCTTCCAAGAGCTGGCTGCTGTCCGAGCCCCTTCCCAGAGTGCGTAGGCCAGGGGCAGCGGTCTCCAGCCTCTGCGACAGCATGGAGCATCGGGTGCTGGCGGGCTGCTCGCCGTCTGCAGCCTCCCCTCGGCGGGCAGGGCTCGCAGTCCTGGGGTGAACGTGCTGCCACGTACACGGCTTTTTCTCATCGCATCTGTCCTTCCAACAGGCATCAGAGTTGGGCCACAGTCTGAACGAGAGTGTCCTCAAACCTGCCCAGGAGAAGGTAACGCGGGGACTCCGGTACTCGGCTGCGTGCGTCTCCCTTGGGCCTCATTCGGGGGGCAGTGGTGCTGGGAGGCGCTGTTCGGGCTTCAGACTCCCGTGCTCACTCCCCGTGTCCTCACGCGTGCGTTGTGCCTATGGCTCTCGTCCCCCAGCCCAGCAAGGCCTGGCCTTGTACTCTGCTCCCGCGTGGCTGTGTGTGTGCCCGGCCCCTCACCCCGGAGGAGGCCAAGGCGGCGAGAGAAGCTCCCGGGGGAGGGGGGCGTGCGGTTTGCGGCCAGCGCCAGCCTGTGCTCGGGAGACCACCGGGGGAGGGTCCGAGCGAGACCGGCCCGGGCTGCGGGGTGGTTGGCTTGCTCGTCGCCCTCACTTCTGGGAGGGGCGACGCGGCGTGGAGACAGGTGCCCTGACAGGTGTCGGTGGGCGTTGCCCTTAGTGATGGGCAGCAGGGCATCCGCCTCGGCTGCGGCGATGCTGTTTCGATCCAGCAGGCGAGGGGGAAGATTTTTGATGATGTGTGCGGTGGGTTCTCTGAGTTGGCGGCCAAGGCAGGGAAGCCCCGCCTGACAGACGGGCTCGGCTGAAAGCGTCTCCATATTCCAAGGAGCCCGGAACCGCGAGCAGGAAGGGCCGGGCGCTTCATGCCCCGTATGGCTTCTTGGCCCGAGGGGCCTGTAGGACGTGAGGAGGGTCAGGTAGACGCTCCGGTGCCGACAGCCTGAGGAATATGGAAACGGCTTGACGGGCACCCGTCACAGCCACTAACCTGTTGCTTCTCTTCTTTCTGCCCTTGTCTTGCTGCTGCCGACCTCCCCTGGTGAGTGCGCTGGGGGCGGCCGCCTTCTCTGCCTTAGCGCCGCTGGGGGCGGGGAGGGGCGGGTTGGCGTTTGTCCTGCTTCCCACCCAGGAGCTTCTCCGCTGAGCTCCTGGGGCCACAGCCTCTGCGTCCACACAGCGGGCATCCCACCGTCCCCAGCGCCAGGGCGAACCGCCCGAGCCCCGTGGTGTCGCCGTGTTCCTAAACTTCACCCAGGTCTCAACTCTGCACTTGGCGTCAGAGCCCAGGCTGAGCGCCTACGTCTCCTTCCAGGTCCAGGGAGTCGGTAGCAGGGGCTGGAGGGACGTCACCACCTTTTTTTCTGGGAGAGCGGAGGACCCGTTGGACAGGTATACTGGCCCCCCTTCCTGAAGTGGGCCCCCTTCCGTGTGGCATTCTCCCCTGGGGTCTCTGGGAAGCAGGTGTGTCTCCCCCAGGGGCTCAGGGCTCACAGTGCAGAAACCCCTGGAGTCCTGGGGGTGCAGAGAGGCATGTCGGCCCCCTGACCTCTCGCTGTGAAGCCCTGCCTTCGACCTCGTGGGAGCTGCCACCGTCCAGGGCTGGGGAGGGAGAGTCTCAGCCTCGCCTCTGTGGGACAGGCTGAGGGAGAGGGGGTGCGGCTGGGCTCTGACCCCCCTCCCAGGACTCCGGAGCATTCAGGGCTCCCGCCCGGGCCTTTCTGCTACGAGCCCAGACTGGGCAGCCTTCTCCTTCTCTGACCCCAGGTGGGACCCTGGGGATCTGGTGGGGGGATGGATGGTCTCAGGCCAGGCCCGGAGCAGCGGCCACTCCGGCCGTGGCGCGTGCTGTCCTGTCCGTCTGCCCGAGGCCTGGGCGTGTTTCCCATGCTCGCGGACGGGATGCCTCAGCGCTTCCCCCTCTGCGTGCTGTCCGCTGTGCTCAGTGGTGTGACTGTGGTTTGAGGGACTGAGGGACTCCACAGTGCAGAGAAGGGTCTGGGTTTTTTTCCCCCTTAATCGTTGCAGGAAACCAGCGCTTTACGTTTTCCTTCAAAACATCCTGCGTTTGGGTGGGACTGGTGGAGAGTGGGCTCTGGTGGCAGGAGGCCTGAGTCCCTCCCACAGGTTCCACGGCCTCAGCTCTGTGGCGGAGCCGCCCTGAGGCTGGGTTTCCTCTGCCCTAGATCGAGAACAGTGACTCTGGGACCCTGAGTGGCACTGGCTGAGTGCCCTGGTTGGGGGTGGGGCTCTGGCTGGGGGCTTGGACTCGGCCTTGACCCCCGTTCTCTGGGGAGGAGCCTGGGGAATACCAGGCGGCTCAGGGCCACGACGGCAACCTTCTGGACTTCCTGGTTCTGGGAGCCGCTCAGAGACCACTCTCTGTCCCAGAGCCCCGGAGGGCCGGAGCTGTCAGAACAGCAGCGGGGACAGCTCCCACGGCACCACCGACCGGAACTTCTGGGAGGCCTTCGGGAGCAGTGACCCTGCTGGGGCCCACAGGTCCCCAAGCGGCAACAGCTGGACGTGTGCAGACCCCTCAGCCGACAAGAGGAGCTCGGATGGCTGGGACGTGTGGGGCTCGGGCCCCGCGTCTGCGTCCAGCAACGGGGGTGGCGACATTGGTGGTGGGGAGGCCTGGGGGGCTGGGGTGGAGGGCAGGGCCAGGGCCAGGGCTGTCAAGGAGGCGGCACCGCCGGCCGCCGTGGACGACGGCTGGGACAACCAGGACTGGTAGGGCGCAGCGGCCGCGCCGCCGCCTTGCTCCTTTCCACCCAGGAAGTGCCGGCCGCATGGGAGGACAGCCTCGGCCGGGACCCCAGGGGCGTGTGCCTCCCTGTTCCGGCTCTCCTGGGGCCCTGGGCCGGGCGCTGTCGCAGGAAGTGCTCCCTGCTGCTGCGGGGGCCACCCACACCCAGCCACCACCCCCAGTGCGCTCGGTAATAAACGCCCTCCCCAGCGGCGCACGCGGCTGCCCAGTGACCGTGACAGGCCTGTCTCCTTGAAGCCACTTTCACTTCTCAGTCGCTCTTGTTCTCGCTTCCTCTGGAAGAAACTGCCTAGCGTTTGAGAGCCGCCACCTGCCCCCTGCCCTTCGCTCCCCAGTCCGTCTCTGCACCAGTGCTGGCCTGCGTCCGCCCGGCCCGAGCACCGCCTGCCTGGCCTTGCCGTCACCCTAGAGCCCGTCATCAGCTCGGGGGGGTCGTGCAGCGGTGCCCTGGCACCCCAGCCTTCCTCGCGGCCCCTCTTCCAGCCTCCTTGCACTGTGATTTGGATCTCACTGTCGCCCAAGCCCACTCGACTTTGATGGCTGTGTGCCGGCCACCCCGTTCTTACGGTCCGGCGCTGACGACCACGTGACACGACGCCGTGCTCGGTCCTCTGTCCCCGCACTTGTTTCTGCCGGCCCTCAGGCCGTTCAGCCAGGCTTCCCCCAGGCCTCCTGTGTGATTTGTGTGCAACGTCCCTGCTCCCTGCCCCGCGGGAAGGGCCGTCCCCGTGTGGACAGCCAGATTGCAGTGGCTCACGTGGCGGGTCTGCAGCACGGCCACCCACACTTCTCCCCAAGGAAGACGCCCAGTGGCCAGCACCGGTGCCTTTAGCTGACCCGCGGGTCTCAGTCACTGAACCAGTAGTCTGCCACGCTCAGACCCAGGTCAGCCCGAGAGCCAGGGCCAAACATGGTCTGCCAGCCCGGGTCCAAGAGGCACTCAGGAGGGCCAGGTGTGAGGCGTGGGTCCTCACCAGGGCTGGTGGGCTGCACTGCAGGCGGCCTTCAGGTCAGCACCGGGCCGGACAAGGGGGTGCAGTCTGTCCTGACACTCTTGTTTCCACGCTGGAACCCCAGCCTGTTGGGATCGGGACTCCGGGATCCTGCCCTGGCCCTGAAGGCTTCGGGGGCACTTCGTTCCTGTCGATTCTGGTCCAGGAGGCCCTGCCCTGGAGGCCGTGTTCAGCTGGAGTAAGTCGCCCTCTGCCCGGGAGCCCCCCGCGCTGATACGCATGGCCCTGAGGCCCACTGGTCTGAGATGTGCTCTGCTCTCAGGCATCACGTCAGGACACTAGGTGGGTGGCCTGAGACCCCTCACGGGCAAAGGACGGGCGCCCCTGCCGTTCTGCAGTTCTGTTCGCTGGGCCAGGACAATGCCAGGCCCTCTCCTCCTGGCTGGGTTGGCAGTGAGGGCCTGAGCATCCGATCCAGCTCCCTTGCCACACGCGGGGGCATCTGCGCGGCACCCTCGTTTGGGGGAGAGGGCAGTTCTGTAAGGACAGTCCGGCGCTCCCCTGGCCCTGGGTAGACTTGGGGCTGCCAGCCGGCGGTCAGCCAGCCTGCGTCATCCTGAAACTGCCTGACCGAGGGCACCTGTGGCTGCCACGTGGGGCCGACTGGAGGCTCCGGGCTGGAGCTGTGTCTTCTGGGTGGTTCTGTGCTGTCCTGTCCCAGAGCAGCGCTATGGGCAGGGGGGCCCCGGGGTGAAGGCAGTCGGGTCTGAGTGGGGAGGCGGGTTAGGCAGCCAGGGCGCCGTGTAGGGCGGTCCTGGGTCCTGTTCTCAGCTGAGCCCCGGTTGTGCTGAACACACGGGGCCTCTGCCTCTCCGGACAACATACCCGTCAGCCGTGAACCTGCCCTCGGCCCCCTGGCCGCTGCGTGCTGTCCTCCCCAGATTCCAGCTCCAGGAGGCCAGGCCAATCCACCAGCTGAGGCCTGGCCAGCCTCTGTCACCTGTTTGCCCCAGACCTCCTGGCCAAGACACCACGACTGACCAGCAGACACCTAAAGGCAGCCCTTGCCCAGCTTAGTTAGCTTCCTTTTCCAGAGTTTTCGTAGGTGACCTGCACTACCCAGTCCAACCATTGCTCCCAGCCAGATGGCCCTGCCCAGCGGGCCCAGGCCTGCGGCACGCCAGATGCTGGTGGCTCTCCTGGGACTCCACGCCCTGAGCCGGTCCTGGCAGGAAGATGGGGAGTAGGGCTTCTTGGGCACCGTCTGGGGGGCTTTCTGGGCAGTGGGGGTCCTGCCCTCTGCACCTCCTCCCCAAGGGGCTGGGGAGGCTCTGCTCAGCACTGAGGGCCGGCTTCTCGAGCGGTCAGGGCTGGGACTCCTGGGGCCACCTCCCCACTGCTGGGGCTGGGGGAAGTGGGGCCGTTGCTCGGGGTCCCCACCTGCACGTCAGAGTGAGGGCCGTGACGGCCGTGCCGCTTCCAGAAGGCCGACGGGACTTGCCCAGCAGGGGCAGCCTGGCTCTGTCCTGCCTTTCTGATCTGTGACCGTGGGCAGCTTGTGCCCTGGCTGAGCCCTGACGCTGCTAGGTGGGCTGCGTGGCCTCGGTCCTCGGGCGTGGAGCACGTGCCAGGTGCAGGGACTCCTGGGTGGGCACATGGGTGGGGGGCTGCCCGGAGTCTAGCCAAGAGCGCTCAGGACCCGCTGGCTTGTGAGCGTGGAGAGCGGCACCTTGGTGGGCTGCGTGAGTGTGCATACGCATGTTCCGAGCGCCTGTGAGCCGTGGACGTGGACAGACACGTGTATGCCGGTGTTTGTGTGTCTGTGGCCACCAGGCCAGGCGCCCTCTGCCGGCCTCCACTTGGGACTGCAGGGCCTGCCTCTCCCCCCACCCACACGCCCCTGCACCAAGCGCCAGCACCCAGTGCAGGGCATCCACCGGCACTGCGGCGTCCGGCGTCCAGCCATGGGGCCGCAGGCATGGGCGCCTGGCTCCCAGGCCACGGCAGGTCTCAGAACTACCTTCGCCTCGGGTCCTCAGGCCCCTCCTAGCTGCAGGAGCACCAACCGCAGGGCAGGACTGGAAGCCAGGAGGGGCTCTGAGGGTCCTGGGTCAAGGCCGGGAGCTGGCTGGATCCTGCAGCGCCTGCCCAGTGGCTGGGGGTCGGAGAGGGGGACAGGAACCTCCAGGGGCGTTGGGAAGGGTCCCGCCTCTCCAGCAGCATCCAGCCCCCGACCTTTGGCCTCTCCCAGTCTCCAGCAAATGTCAACTGGCCTGCGCTGCGCCCGCCTCTCCCGGAGCGCTTCTGCCTCCGGAAGCTGAGCCCAGAGCAGGGGGTGGGGGTGGGGGCCGGGCCGGCCCAGGTGGGGGTAGGGTGGTTCTGGGGGGTGAGTCCTGGGGTCCAGCAGGGGTTGGGTGCTTGGGGCCCAGGCTGGGTGCCTCTCCCCCCCGCAAGCCCTGGTTACCGGGCCCAGCCTGCGGGGAACCTAGTCGGTCGGGGTGGGGCCTTCGGGGTGCATAGGGAGGGCTGGGGGCGGGGCTGGCGAGGCTGGCCCTCACCGACCTCGGAGGGCTGTAGAGAAGGGGCAGGTGCGGAGGAGGAGGCTTGGGGGGCGGGGCACTGGAGAGGGACCCATGAGTGGCTTGGGTTTGGGGTCACGTGTCTTGGGGCGCGATGCCGGACAAGTGGGGAGGTTGTGAGGCTGGCGTGACCCTGGGGTCCGGGGGCTGCTCCAGGCTGCCAGGGATCCCCATGCCCATCACCCACAGCTTGGCGCCCAGGACCACACGTGGTGACCTTGGTCCCTGAGGTGCCTGCCTTGTGGGCCTCTTTGGAACAGACCATATGGAGTGAGGGATAAAGGTGTTTGGCCCCTTGGTGCCTTGGATCCCACCCTGCAGTGCGATGGGGTCCTTTACACTGGGACCCGTGTCCCCCACGCTTGGAGAGCCGTCCTGGGCAGCAGATGGGAAGAGTGGAGAGCTGAGGAGGGGGGCCAGGGGAGGGGGGCAAGCCGCGGGGTGGGCGGGGGGTGGGCCGGGGCAGTGACGTCGGAGGAAAGGGGCCTCATAAGCCCCAGCCTCCCTGTGGATGCAGCAGGACCAGGGTAGACGGGAGTGCGTGGGACGGAGGGACGCTGCTCTGGGACTGGAGCAGGTTGGTGACTCGCCACAGGGCCAGGTGGACAGGGAGGGGCCACCAGGGGATGCACCCAGGTCTGTGATCTGAGGATGACCTTGCCCTTCCAGACAGAGTGGGGGCGGGCTCAGCAGGACCGGATGCACAGTGTTGGGCCGGGGAGGGCGTCTGGCCCCCCAGGGTCACAGGGGTGGAGGAAGGAAGGCGCTGCGGAGGGGTCCTGTTCACAGCCTCGAATTCTGTGGGGAGGGGAGGGGAGGGGCCTGGCTTGGGGCCCGGGGTGCCCGGATAGCCTGTGCGCCATCCTCTAGCCCATCTGCAGCCCCGAGGACCCCCTTGAGCTCCACTGCCCTGGGTGTGTCTGGGCCGGGGCTGGCCGGAGGCCTGAGATCCCGCACTACGTTCCCCTCTGCTCTGTCAGCAGAGGCCCAGAGGCAGCCCCCCAGGACCCAACCCCACCTTTGGGGCTCCCCCCACCTCACTGAGAGGCCAGCTCTGGAGCCAGGGGGCTGGTTGTCCTGGGTGGCCGGTCCTCAGCCAGGACACGCCCCTCCTGGGGCCAGCAGGGGTCCCGGTCCCAGCTCTGATGCCGCTCAGGGCTGTGGGCAGGGCCGCCCCCCACCTGGCCTTGGTTTCCTCCCCAGACCCCTTGGCCCTGACAGTGGCCACCCCAGGCTGGTATAATGACAAGTGAGTGACCAGGGCAGTGGCCAGGCCCCGAGCTGGCCTAGCTGGCCTGTGGAGAAGGTCCCGAGGGCGGGATGCAGAGGGTGTGGTGGGCAGACGGAGGGCAGCTGACCTCCTGATCCAGGAAGCTCCCCCAGGCCTGTGGGACACTGGCCCCTGGGGACAGGAGGGCCAGTGGCTGGAGGCCTCCGGGTATGGGCTCGGCCCCAGGCCTACACAGGCACAGACAAAGAAGCTCTGGCTTCGAGGTCAGGAGGGGACAGACGGACAGATGGCTGAGTGGCCTCTCCTCCTCTCGCAGGCCACACACCATGAGCATCCGTGTGTGCCCCCGCCTCGGGGTCGGCCTCTGGCTGTGGCTGGGTGTCACCCTAGGACTCGGCCAGGGACAAGGTGAGGACACGGGTGTGGGCTTCCTGTGGCCCTTGCCTGCCCCCCACCCCAGGCCGTACCTGCCCAGGGCACAGGTCCCCCGAGGGACCAGCCTCCCTCTGGCCCTGAGCCCCCAGCAGCTGCTGTTCTGGGGGGACAGATGCGCAGGGGGCAGAGACGGGAAGAGGGGACAGCTCTGCCCACAGTGTCGCGGGGACAGATGCGCAGGGGGCAGAGACGGGAAGAGGGGACAGCTCTGTCCACAGTGTCGCCCTCAGCTGTGGCTTGACCATTTGGCCTTGCGGTCTTTCTATTTCTTTGGGCTCCTTTCGTTTTCTGGTTGTTGTTGTTTGGGGTTTTTTTTTTTAACAGTTATTAACACACTGGGTGTGCATTTAATTCCTTCTTATGTTAATATTTTTTCCATCATTCCCCAGATGCCTTTTCAATGTGAAATTTTCAAACAGCAGAATCTAGAGTAAAAAGTGATACCCCCACCCCCCAGGAGAACCCAAGATGCTGCCTCCAGCAGGTCCCTGCTCATTTAAGCTCCTTTAAGGCGCACATCACATCAGCCCCCTGCCCCCTGCGGGTAGCACCTTGGGCGGCTACACCCCATCCAGCGAGGGGACGCTTCTGCTCCCTACTGGACGTTCACAGTGTGTCCCTTTCGGGGTAACGCTGGTCGCAGTATCCTTTGTAACACCCCAAACCCATGGGGGAGGGCTGTGTAGACTGACACTGGGAGGTGGTGTCCACGTCCCAGGGGCCGTCCGAGGCTCCGGTTACCCAGTGAGCCCCCTCCACCCCCGCCGGCCACATCCCTGGCGTGCACCTGGCTCCCACGGATGATGAAGGGGCAGGAGACTGCCGAGGCCTGGCCTCATGGGGGGCGGCAGGGGTGCATCGTGCAGCCACCCAGCCCGGAGCCCCGGCTCTGGTAACCGCCTTCTTACTGGTGGTGCATCTTCGTGGTTATACTTTTGCACGCAGGTGGTCGGGGCCCTCTGTTCCTGGCGCTCTGACAGGATCACCCCGAAGGGGCCAAGTCACTAAGGGACCCCTACAGACACTTGAGTCCAGACAGCACGAGGTCCCTGCAGGCTCTGGGTAGACAGGGGAGGGCTAGGGTGGGGCGGGGCCCCACATCCACGCTGCCCTTCCCCGAGGGTGGCCCCGTGGGGGGTGCCCCTGGGTGGGTGCTGTCTCCCAGGCGCCCCACCAAGGCCCTGACGTGCAGACTCAGAAGGCAGCTGGGGATGGCCCCCAGCATGCCAGGGGCGCAGGGAGACAGAGGCTCTTCATGAGCTGGGCTTCCTGTTCACAAGTGGCTTTTCAAGGCCCCCGCTCCTGAGGCGTTCCTGCCTTTCAGCCCAGGCTCCAGGGATCAGCGGGGCCCACCCGGCAGCCCGGCTCAGCTGTTCCCTGCTCTTAAGCGATCATTGTGTCTGCCGTGGGCTCCCCCCGGCCCTGCCCTTCCCCTGTGCCCCAGCTCTGAGGGGGGCCACCAGAAGAAGCCCATCTCTGTCCCCACTTTCCAAAACTAGTTGCCTCCGCCAAGGAGCTCCCGGAAGCTCGGGGGTCAGGCTGTGCCTGAGGGCTGAGGCCTCCGCTACCCCGTCCTCCTCCCAGGATGGCCAGGCCCTCCCCAGGGCACCCCACCCTCATGGGCTGTGTGAACCTAGTGGTGACCTTGGGGTCTGCAGCTGCGGGGACTCGGCGGGGACATCCGGGCGGGCTGGCAGCTGCCGTGCTGGCTCAGTGCCCGCGTCTTCTGTGGGGCAGTTACGGTCGCTCCGGGAGGCTGGCCTCAGTGCACGGGGGCGGGGGCCTCCCTGGACAGAAGTCTGCCCTCCCGGGTGCCGCCAGGCGGTCCCGGTCCTCTTTCAGCCCTGGGTGGGGCCTCTTCTAGAGTTCCCCCAGGTGGGACTGGCCCCCTCTGACCCCTGATGGGGCCCCAGCTGCCTCGGGGCCCCCACAGCTGGTTGGGGCGGTTGCCAGGGGGCAGCCCTGACCCCCGTCCTGCCTTTGCAGCAAGCGGCCGCCTGAGGCTGGTGGTGCTGCCTGAGGACCGGCTGCAGATGAAGTGGAGGGAGTCGGAGGGGAGCAGCCTCGGCTACCTGGTGCAGGTGAAGCCCAGGGCAGGTAGGGGCCCGCGCCTCCCCTCTGCGCGCACTGACGGTGACCACGGTCAGCATGGCGGTCACTGGGCCCGGCTCCTCGCGACTCTGCCTCCCTCCTCCCCCACTGCCCCGCTAACACGGGGAAGCTGTGGCAGGAGAGCGGGGCCCCTGGAGTCCCCACCGCCGTATCCCCGCGCCTGGCGCACGCAGAAGGCGCTCGCTCACTTGGAAGAAACAAGGATCCTCCTCAAGCTTAGAGCTCTTAGGGCTCTGCCAGTGCCCAGCGCCAGGGCAGACTCACGGTATCAGAGCGCGTCCCACAAGAGGGCAGGCGGCAGAGGCGCCTGGCAACCCGGCACAAACCTCCAGACGGGATGAGGGCTGCGAGTGTCAACAGCCTTTCAAAAGTTGAGGTTTGACACGCAGACGAGCCCACAATCGTGGGTGTGTGATTGCAGAATGGGTACATGCACGATGCAAAGGCAAACTGGAGCTCACTCCCTGGGTGAGGAGAGGCCCCTCCCGGTCTCCACCCCCTCTGCTCCCAAGCAGAACCCCCTTATTGATGCGCCTGTGGTTTTCTACTATCTCAACTAAGCCAAATTTATTCACCTTATTTTCACATCTTTTTTATCTTTGCTGATTTCGTGTGCGTCTACTTATCCCATTAGTTACTGAGAGAAGTATTTTAAATCCCCCATCGTGACTATAGATACATCTTTCTGTGGTTTCTCACTAATCTTTGTTTTATACGCTGAGGCTCTGACATTAGGTGCATACAAATTCAGAATTATCATATCTTCCTAGTAGATTGAACCTTTTCCATTATGAACTATTCTCATTACCTCTGCGGTTGCAGTCTTTTCTTATAATCTCTTTTTTGTGAGATCAGTGTTGGTCCGCCAGGAAGCGTTTGCACTGAAAACCTTTTCCCATTCATTTACTCAATTTTTCTTTAGCCTTTCATTTTAGATGCATCTTCTGAGAAGCATAGAATTTGTATTGTTTTTATGTTACAATCTTTGTCTTCTAATTGAAATATTTTTCCACCTACATTTAATGAAGTTACTGATATATTTGGGTTTAAATCTGCTATCTTCCTACTTGTTTTCATTTTGTTACACTATAATTTTTTCCTCTCCTTTCTTGTCTTTTTGTGGCACTGAATTTTTATGGAGAATTTTAAACACATGCAAAAGACGAGAGCGTGATGTAATGAAGCCTCATGTTCCCAGAATTTAGCTTCAACAGTTATCAACGTACGGCCACTATCATTCCATGTCTGTCTCTCCAACCCCTTCCTTATAGTGTATTATCTTAAAGCAAGTCTCAGACACTATATAATTTTGTCTATAAATATTTCAGTATGTTTCTCTAAAAGGAAGGACCAAAAAAATAACTCTGGTACCATTGGCATGCCTAAAAAGTAAAAATATTTCAGAACCATCAAGAAATACTTTGTTGTGTTAAAAATCTTCCAGCTTGCCTGATAAACATCTTTTGCAATTGACTTCTTTGCACTGAGACCCCAACAGAGTCCTCACACTGTGCTGTTTTCCCGCGTCTCCGGTAATGTTCCAGCTACAACAGCTCTCCTCCTTTTCCTTGACGCTTATTTGTTGAAGAAAGAAGATCGTTTGTCCGCCAGAACTTCCAACATTCTTTGTTCTGCTGATGGCATCCCCGTGGTGCCACTTTTATTGCTCCCCTACCCCCCGTCTGTCCTGAAGATTGACAGGTCCCAGAGGTTTGGTCAGATTCAGGTTTGATTATCTTTTGTTGACAACAACCCTTTATAAGTGGTTCTGTGTCACTCCTGCTGCACCACAGCTGGAGGCCCACAGCGTCTAGTGTCTCTTTTTTGTGTGTGAAGTTAAGATTGATGGGTAGGTGGGGGACGATTGAGTGCTGTTTATCATCCCATGTCCTCTTCTGCTCAGTAGTTACGTATCCCTTTACTCCTGCAGTGATCACCCAGAGACCACCGTGCCATCCTTAACTTATCAACGTGTAGTATCCATGAAGGCTACGTTACCTTTTCCCACACAGGAGCAGCACAACCACATTTATCCCCTTTTCATGCATGTTAATCTATATCCATATTAAATCTCATAAAACATTTTCATTTGCGTAGTGTATAATTCGACGTGAATTTGGACCAGCTCACGTGTTTACCCTTTTGTTGTTCTCTTTCCCTTCCAGCATGTCTGGGGTTATTTTTCTCCTGCCTGAAAATGTTTCCTTTAGTAAGGGTCTGCTGGTTACACATTCTTGTGTTTTGGGGGGTTTTGTTTGTTTGTCTGAAAATGTCTTTATTCCGCCTTCATTCTTGAGGGATATTATTGCTGGGTATAGAATTTCAAGTTGGAACTTTCCTTCAGCACTTTGAAGACTCCTTTGAACGTCTCTTGGTTCCTGTTGTTTTTCTCGAGAATTCAGTTATCAACTCAGTTGCTGTCGTAACGTCTTTTTCTTTTTCCCTGGCTGCTTTTGAGACTTTTTCCTCTGTTTGGATTCTCAGCACATTTAATCTGATGTTCGTGGGTGTGGGTCTCTTTTCTCCTGCTTCAGATTCACAGGACTTCTCAAATCGGTGTCTACTGTTTTACAGTTCTTTAGCTGTATCTCCTCAAACATTGCTTGTGCCCCATTCTCTCTCTGTATCTATGCCTTTTACTCTTTCTTCTATATTTTCAATCCCTTTATCTCTCCATGCTTAACTTCGTGTTTTTTATTCTGACTGATATTCCACCATTTATCTCTTCGTGTGTAACAAGCTGTTAGGTCATTCTTTGAATTTCTAACATCATGTTTTGTGTTTTTCTCTTTCTTTTTTTAATTAAATTTATTTATTTACTTATTCTTGGCTGCGTTAGGTCTTCGTTGCTGCGCACGGGCTTTCTCTAGTTGCGGCCAGCGGGGGCTACTCTTCGTTGTGGTGCGTGGGCTTCTCATTGCGGTGTCTTCTCTTGTTGCAGAGCACGGGCTCTAGGTGCACGGGCTTCAGTAGTTGTGGCTCATGGGCTCTAGAGTGCAGACTCAGTAGTTGTGGCACACAGGCTTAGTTGCTCTGTGGCATGTGGCATCTTCCCAGACCAGGACTCGAACCCGTGTCCTCTGTGTTGGCAGATGGATTCTTAACCACTGCGCCACCAGGGAAGTCCCTGTGTTTTTCCATTCTAGAATTTCCATTTGGAAATTTCCGTTTGGTTTTTGCATTCAAGAATTCCTTTTTTTATGGTTCGATATCTGAATTCATAGGCTCGTCTTTTAAAATTTCAAACTACTTAGCATAGTTATTTTAAAGTCTCATGACTCCATTATCTGGGAAATCTGTGGCTCTCTTTCTGTTGTCTAATGTCTCCCTTAACATTCAATCACATTGCCTTGCTCCTTCGCATATCCGGTTATTTTTTACTGCATACCAGACATTGTGACAACTTATAGAAATAATTTATGGCCTTTGATAACATTGCCTTCCTTCAGAAACAATTTATGTTTGTTTCTGACAGACAGTGATGTGAACTAGCAGTTTTGGGTCATCTTCACTCCGTTTTAGAAGTTAAGATTATTTGAAGTTGGGCTTCAGTCCTTTCAAGAGCCAGTCTATCCTCATTAACCCTTGCTCCTGGGTGGAGCTCTTCAGTGTCTCAACCCAAAGAATGGCGGCGGGGGGGCACATGCCAAGGACTCACTTCCTCAAAGGGCCTGCGTGTACATCCCTCCCCTGTGCAGGCGGGCCCAGGAACCCAACAGACCTGGGTTTAAATCCTGGTTCTACCATTGAGTAACTGTGTGACTCGGTTTTCCCACCTACAAAATGGGGGAATGGTTTTGTGAAAATTACACAGCTCGAGTCATATGAAGCACCAACACCCTCGCCCTCCCGGCCTGTCCCGCCTCCCCACGTGGGGCTGGACCCAGGCTGGGGGCCGTCCGTCCCGCAAGACAATGGACTATGGGGCGGGCATGCAGGTCCTTCCTCTGTTATCCCCTTCCTAGCACCTGAGACCCGAGAACCGCTAGGTGCTTCCTGACCTCTGACTGCAGTCTCTCCAGTCGGTTCCACGACTGCCTCCCCAAAGAGCGTGGCAGTGTCCCCTTTGGAATAGTTTCTTTTTTTAGTCAGACTCACAGAGTCACAGTGGGACATGTTTGCAGATTCGCTGTTGTGTGCCGTCCAGCCCCCTGCACACGGGCAGGTGGGGCCTTTCTCTGTGTGCAGCCCCCGTCTTCACACCTTCACGCTGTCCCCAGGGCTGTTGTGCTGGGCATCTGGAGGGTTTATGGGTCCTCCCTCTGGGGAGGATAAGTCCTTCTGGGGAAGCTTTGTAAAGGCATATTATTTTGCTGTCGCAGAGATACATTCTTTCTCCATTTGTTACCCAGGAGGTCCTGGAGAGGGCAACAAAGACCTCTCCCCTTTTCCCCTCCCCCGCCCCAAGGGGAGGAGCTGGGGGGAGGGGAAGAGGAGGCGCCTGGAGGATTTTGCCACTCCCTGACATACCTGCAGGCACACGCAGGACAGAGTGGGTGCAGCACACCTGCACGCACAGGTGCACACATGCGCGCACACAGCATCCACCTGGGCGGGCTCGACAGGTCTCCCCACCCCCACCCAGGGGACCTGGAGCAGGAGGTGATGCTGACTACCAAGACCCCCAAGGCCACGGTGGGGGGCCTCAGCCCCTCCAAAGGGTACACCTTGCAGATCTTCGAGCTCACAGGCTCAGGGAATGTCCTGCTGGCTCGGAGGGAGTTTGTGAGTAAGTCCCTCCGGGGGTGCATGTGTGCAGAGGAGGCTGGAGCTGAGCCCTGGCAGCCCCTCGGCTGGGAGCCCCAGGGAGCCTGGACGAACCCTCGCGGGGAGGGTTGTGTGCAGCCCCAGGCCTCTCTTCCCTCCCTGGTGGTCCTGACAGCCCCTCGCATCTCTCTGCAGTCAAAGATTTGAAGAGTAGCTCTGCGAGCAGGAGCAGCCGGAGGCCACTGGGGGCAGCCCTGCAGCCCAGCCCCTCCCACGAGGGGAGCCCAGACCTCGATCCCCCAGTGGCCTTGGCCCCAAGCCAAGACCTGCCCACGCCTGGTGGGTCCAAGCCGGGGGACGGTAAGTGCCTGGGACGAGGAGCGGCCCTGAGCTTCCCGCGGATCCTCTCCATGCGGCCAGGACGTGCTTCCTCCATCTGACCTCACACTCCCCAGCTTCACTCAGGCTTGGCTGCCGCGCTCCTCGGTTCACTAAACCCACCGGGGCAGGTCATCTGCTCGGGGCGTCCTTGGGGCCCCAGTGCCTGGTCCCACCACCCTGACCCCTCTCAGGAGTCCCCCAGCCTGAGTGTGGCTGGGGAGAGGTGACACAGCTGTGCCCCCCCCCCAGGAGTACCTGGTGAGGAACAGCCCCCACCCAGGGGCCCTGAGGGTGAGGCCCCTGCCCAGCGCACCCCAGACCTGGAAGGGCACAGCCACGCCAGGGCCTCGGCTGGAGGGAGAGAGAAGCCAGGTAAGACGGCCAGGGTGCCAGCCTCCGCAGGCTAGCGGGATGGGACCACAGCGCCGCACTTCCCTCGAGGCCCTGCAGGCAGGGCTGTGCCTCCCCCATCAGACCTGAGATGTCTCTGATTTTGTTTCTCCCATCAGACTTGGAATGGAAGAAAGTACCTCCTTCCTTAGCCTCACGTGGGGTCCTGGGGTCCGGGCCGCCTGCTGTCTCCCAGTGGACTTGAGGCCAGGGCCTGCCTCCCCCACTGGGGGGGCGTCTCACCACACCTACCCTGCCCGGGAGCCTCAGGTGGGGTCTGGCCCTGGCTCTGGGGCTTAGCCTGGGGGCACTGTCTGTGCAAAACTCAGGGAGCCCCAGATCGAGGGGTGTGGCTTTGTCTCCAAAGAGCTCTTGGGTCCTTTGGACAAGCCCCCTCACCAAACGGTGAGGCCTCAGCCCAGAGCTGGCAGGATGGGCAGCTGCCTGGAGCTGTCCGTGGTGCTGACGCAGCGACCCCGGTTGGCACCCCGTTGGGCAGTCTCTGCCCGCTGGGCCCGGGTGTCGTGTCAGCCGGATGAGGAAGGTGGAACCCCCCTACCCCTGCCATAGACAATCGCACAGTGACCAGCACCGCCAAGGCTGATGGAGGGCAGAGGTGCCAGAGCGGCTGGATGTCCTGTGAACCCTCTTTGGGGGGGCTCGGAGGGCCTGGGATGATGGGCTGAGTTCAAGTGCGGTTTTCTAAGTCTGGGGAGACCCTAGTGCCTGTCCCCCAACACCCAGCTGCCCACCTCACTTGAGGCCGGAGTCCTGTGGCTCCTTACCCTCTACTTGCCCCAGGGAAGGAGATGCTGGGGCTGCAGCCCGCCTCCGGGGCGGATCAGGGTCCTGCAGCAGCAGCGGGTCTCGCCCAGCACCTCGCCTCCCTCCCCTCCTTCCCCAGCCGGACCCCAGTTCCGCTGCACGTCCCCCACACCCGTGGACATGATCTTCCTGGTGGATGGATCCTGGAGTATTGGTCAGTCACTTCCAGCAGGTCAAAGACTTCCTGGCCAGCATCATTGAGCCCTTTGAAATCGGGCCAGACAAAGTCCAAGTAGGTAGGTCCCAGCCCTGCCCTGCGCCCCACCCGGGGTGGTCCTCACAATTCCTGCCAGCCCCCAGCACAGGCGTTGCTTGGAAAAGGGAGTGAGAATTGGGGAAGGAGACACGCAGCCTCTGGGAACTAAGGCTAAGTTCCCACCTGGACAGGCAGGGGTGGGGTCCCGACCTGCACTGGAGGGACAGCTGGCTCCTGGGGGGACATTGTGTGGAAAACGAGGCTTTGCAGATGTGCCTCCCTGGTGACCCAGGCGAGGCTGTGTGTGTCCTGCCCGCCTGCTGTGTGCCCACCCCTCCCAGCCTGACTCAGTACAGCGGGGACCCCCAGACCGAGTGGGACCTGAATGCCTTTGGCACCAAGGAGGAGGTGCTGGCCGCCGTGCGTGGCCTCCAGTACAGAGGGGGAAACACGTTCACAGGTCTGCCTGGCCCCAGCCCCACCCTCGGGGTCTATTCAGGTCTTGTCCTGAGGTCGGCTGCCCTCGCACCTTCCCAGATTTGGAAACGTGTGTTCTGAACCACGCCTGAGAGCTGTGTATTCACGCCTTTGCAAAGGACAAGTCCGCCTCGTTCATCCATGGTGAACGTGGTGTGCTGGGCAGCCCTGCCGAAACCAGGAGACTCCTCTGGTCGGTAGAGGCCCCTGGGAGGGCCCACCAGTCGCTTGGGGGGGCCCTGCCAGCAGCAGCCCCCCTCAGGGGGTCTCTCCCTGGCAGACCCCTCCCCCCACCGCAGGTCCCCTCCCTGTTTCCCGTCCTGGGGCCTCACTGCTCTTGAGAAGGCAGCAGGGTGTGGGGCGCCGGCCCCTGAGTCTCTGGGTGCCTTTGAGGGAAGGAGAGGGGGCATCGCTGCCCTCCGGGCCCCCGCAGCCTGAAGGGGCCAGGACCGGCCTGGTGGGCAAAGCAGGGGGCCAGCGGCTGGTGGAGCCATCGCGAGCGGGCAGGGAGGGTGCTTGGAGCTGCCAGCACTTTCTTCTCACTGCACCCAAGGCCTGGCCCTGACCCACGTGCTGGAACAGAACCTGAAGCCCGTGGCGGGTCTCCGTCCGGAGGCGGCCAAGCTGGTGATTCTGGTGACGGACGGCAAGTCCCAGGACGATGCCTGCACTGCTGGCCACATGCTCAAGGATCTGGGCGTCGACGCCTTTGCCGTGGGTGAGCAGAGCCCGGGCTCTCACGGGGAGTTTTCACAGCAGGTGGCTCCCACGCCCCCCCCACCGCCCCCTGGGCTGCAGGTCTTGTGGCCTCTGAGCCCCAGCCCGCTGTCTGCGAATGGGGAGGACAAGTCCCTGCTCCGAGGCAGCCACGTGAGTCGGCGTGGGCGGCAAGGCCGCTCTCTAATGAAGTGTCTGTAGACGTCTCCGTGCCCCCTCCTGTCTGCACGGGCCCTGTGCGTGGCCCGGAGGCCTTGCTCTGCTCCCTTGACTGGCCATTCATTGACTCTGTTCCTTGGGAAGGAAACTCCAGACTTGGGGGCAGGGATTCCTGGAAGCAGAGACCGTCCTCGGTGCCTGACCCCAGCCCCAGGGTGTGCAGGACGCCGAGGAAAGCACACTGGCCTCCCTCCTGGCCCCAAACCCCACAGAGAGCCAGGCAGGCATGGCACAGCCTGAGAGGGGCCTTCGGGTGTCTAGCCCCACCTTCACACCAGCCCGTCTCTCGCGGGGGCCCGGCCGGGTGACCCCGTTCTGAGGCCTGTGGAGTCTTGGGTCTGTGGCGTGGGAAGGAGCCTCTGCCGGCTGGGTGCCTCGCAGGGGCCCAGTGGTCCTGGCCCACAACGGACAGCCCGCCCCCACCCCGCGGCAGGCGTGACGGACGCCAATGATGCTGAGCTGAGGCTCCTGGCGTCCCAGCGTCCGGACATCACCGTGCACAGCGTGCAGGACTTCCCCCGCTCGGCTCGCTGGCCGGCCTGCTCAGCCGCCTCGTCTGCCAGAAGGTGCAGGGCAGGCGCCTGCGCAGCGGCCCAGGTGAGCGAGCAGGGGTGGCACGAGGGCAGGGTCGCCCATGCTCGGCCGCAGCCCCACCAGGCCCCGCCCACGCGGTTCTCAGGGCTCTGAGGATACCTGGGGGAGCATTGCCCTTCTGGGAAGTGGCCCCCAGGGGCGCAGGCAGAGCCACTGTCGCCAGCTGCCCCCTCCCATCCCACAGTTACACCGGCCGCAGCCGCTCCGGCCCTGGACCCCCCTTCCGCTCCCACCGGCCTGGTCCTGACCCAGGTGACCTCCTCCAGCATCCACCTCTCCTGGACCCCAGCCCCGCGGCCACCCCTCAAGTACCTGATCGTGTTGCGGCCTTCTAAGGGCGGCGCCCCCAGGGAGGTGAGAGGGCCCCCCCTCACGCAGGCAGGGCTGGAGTCGGGCCCACACGTGGAGGAAGAAGGGTGGCAGGGGCGGGGGGCTACCAAACCGCAGCCCCTTGCCCCCGCAGATGGCCCAGACCTGGCCAGGGACGCAGCCACGCAGGGAGCGAGGGCTAACCCAGCCCTCCCCAGCCCACGCCCCCGCCCCCACCCCGCCCACTCTGTCGCGGCTTCCGTTCCAGGTGGTGTTGGAGGCGCCCGCCTCGTCGGCAGAGCTGCGCAACCTGACCTCCAGCACGGAGTACCTGGTCTCCGTGCTCCCCGTCTACAAGGCCGGCGTCGGTGAGGGCCTGCAGGGCCCGGTGACCACAGGTGGGCGAGGGGGGACTCGCCTGCAGCCTCCCCTCGGAGCCTGGCACTGGAGCAGTCTTAACCCAGGTGGGGCACACCCCCAGCCTGTGACCGAGGCCAAGTCACTGGGCCTCTCTGACCCTGTGTCCTCTTCTGAGCACAGTGATGTCGTTTGTGTCATCAGCCCGGTCGTGGCTGGGACCCAGTACTGCTGCTGCCTGCACTCTTGGTGGGGCTCCCGCCCCGTCCAGCCCGCAGGCCGCCAGGGCCTGCGTGAGCCGCCCCCCCGGCAGCTTTATTGAGATACACCCTACGACCCTCCCATCTACAGTGTACAAGTCGGGGGTTTCCGTTTGTCCCAGCATCGCGCACCCACACCTTAGCAGTCACCCCCAGTCCTCCCCTTCCCCACGGCCCCTGCCCACCCCGATCTGCTTTCTGTCTCTGGGGTTTGCCATTCCTGGACCCTCCATATAAATGGGACCACACAGCATGTGGCCTTAAGTGAAACCAGGGTTGCCCAGGGGGAGCCGGGACAGGGACTTCAGTTGTCTGTGCCCCCCCACCCGCGTTGGTCTTCCCCCCTCTGTGTGTCCATCAAGACACACCTGGCCTGCACTGCCTGAGACCCTTTGTCCCGCTGGTTTATGGGGCTGAATTCTGCCTGTGCTGAGTTTCTAAAGCCCCTCCACGCCCGCCCCCGTCTCCCCCAGTGCCCCTGCCCCCACCCCAGGCGCTGACCCTGGCCGCAGTGATGCCCAGAGCCATCCACCTCACCTGGCAGCCCTCGGCAGGGGCCACCCAGTACCTGGTGCAGTGCTCGCCCACCTCCCCCAAGGGCAAGGAGGAGGGGAGAGAGGTGCGGGGCAGAGGGGGAGGGGAGGCGGGGGAACCAGTCTGGGCCGGCGGGCGGGGGCGCGCAGGCAGGGGCCAGCGTGAGCCTCCCGCAGGTGCGGGTGGGGCAGCCCGAGGCGCTGCTGGATGGGCTGGCCCCAGGCAGGGACTACGAGGTGTGGGTGCGGAGCCTGCGAGGGGCAGAGACCAGCGAGGCCCAGAGCACCCGCGCCAGGACCCGTGAGTGCCCCGCCCGCAGACTGCTGCCCACTCTGGCTCCCCGCAACCTTCCACGGGTGGGGGACCCCGACCCCATCCGGTAGCCCCATCAGACCTGGCCATCGCCCGCCATTCCCCCGTACGTGTGGGGCGGTCCCTGAGGCCTTGGTGTGCCCTGCAGCCGCCCTGGCCCCCCCCAGACACCTGAGCTTCTCGGACGTGAGCCATGACTCGGCCCGAGTGTCCTGGGAGGGCACCGCGAGGCCTGTGCGCCTGTTCAGGGTCAGCTACGTCTCGAGCAAGGGCGGCCACTCGGGACAGGTGAGGCCAGCCCCTGCCCGGGGCCGATGTCCTGGGCTGTCCAGGGGCATGAGTTGTCCATGGGGACCCAGTGCCCTCCGCCTCCCCCACTGGGCACCCTGCATTCAGGGTCGGTGGGTGTGGCCAGGTCTCCCCAGGCACAGCCTCAGCCGGTACAGGGGAAGTGGAGGGCACCTGACACCACCTGGGCCCTTGTGGGCCCCTGGGGGCGGCAGACGTGGAACAAAGAACCGCACACGAGAGCCCTCGTGCATGTGGGCGGGGGGTGCGTGGCCTCACGAGAGGCGAAAACACCGGCTTGTTGGGCGGGCTGGTGGGCAAGACCCCACCCCGGTGCCGTGGATCCTACGCCCCGTCCCCGTCTCCCCAGTCTGGGGGTGGTCACGGGGCAGGCCTGCCCATGTCCCCACCCCCACCTGCCTGCAGACGGAGGCTCCTGGGAGCGCCACCTCGGTCACTCTGGGCCCCCTCTCGTCCTCCACCGTCTACACGGTCCGCGTCACCTGCCTCTACCCTGGGGGCAGCTCCTCCACACTGACTGGCCGCCTGACCACACGTGAGTGTCCCCAGGCTGCTTCCCTCTGCGCCCCTGGACAGTTAAGATCAACATAGCTGCTCGGTGTCTGCTCTGTGCAGCACCAAGCCAGGTGAGGGCGGGTACCTTGGCAGGTGTGACAGTGGGCCCTGCGGGCACTGTGCGTGAAGACTGGGGGCCCCTCTGCCACCCCAGCCTCAGTCTCCCTCTTCCAGGGAAAGTCCCCAGCCCGAGCCAGCTGTCGGTGATAGAGCTGCCTGGGGACGAAGTCCAGCTGGAGTGGGCGGCCGCAGCGGCGTCCGGCGTGCTTGTCTACCAGATCACGTGGACGCCCCTGGGAGAGGGGAAGGCCCATAAGGTGTGGGGGGAGAAGACCTTCCCCACCCCAGCTCCCGGGGTTCAGACCCCCATGCTGCACCCTGGGGACATTGGCCTGCATGTGGCCCCGGCCGGGCCCCAACGTGTGGACACAACTCCATGGCTGGACACGCGGTCCCTCCTCTCCGCAGATCTCCGTCCCGGGGAACCTGGGCACGGCCGTCCTGCCCGGCCTGGGGAGGCACTCGGAGTATAAGATCATCATCCTGGCCTACTACAGGGATGGGGCCCGCAGTGTCCCTCCACTACACCCCCCGTAGGTGACCCCTGCTCTGCCCCAGACCCCTCGATCTGTGGGCCCCCGACAGGCAGTCCCCCGAGTCCCTGACCCTGCAGCTGGACCACTTGGGTCCTGAGCCGTCCAGGCAGGCATCCCTGGGATGGCCGAGGGTCCAAGTCACCTGGAGTGACACAGTGCCCAAGATGGTCCTGGAGCTGGCCTGGTGACCCTGTCTTGGCCGAGGCCACTGGGCAGCGTGGCGGGGCCGTGGAGTGGGAGGGTGGCGGACGTGGTGCAGAGCGGGGGACGTGCTGCCATCTGAGGCCCCCCCGCCCCTTGCTCCCCCGCAGTCAGCTGGAGCCCACCCTCCAACCTGGCCCTGGCCTCAGAGTCTCCCGACAGCCTGCGGGTCAGCTGGACGCCCCCGAGTGGCCGTGTCCTCCACTACCAGCTCTCCTATGCACTGGCCTCAGGCTCGGGACCCGAGAAGTCGGTGGGTCTCCCTGGAGCCGGGAAGCCATCGTCCCTCCTGGGCCCCTGGGTCCTGGGCCTTGGGGGAGACAACGTCCCACCCTGCCTGTTAAGGGGGCCACTCTTCCATGGCAGGACCCACAGGGAGCTGAGAAGCCCAAATGAGCAAAGACGCTCAGGTGACCATCTCCCCCACCCCCCCCCCCCCCCCCAGATCTCCATTCCAGGACCCAGAAGCCATGTGACTCTCCCTGAACTGCTGGCGGCCACCAAGTACCGGGTCCTAGTCTCAGCCGTCTACGGAGCAGGGAAGAGTGTGGCAGTGTCTGCCACGGGCCGGACGGGTGAGTGGGCACTAAGACCCCCAGGCCCCAGCAGACCCCAGCAGGACCCAGGACCCTGGCAGGTCCCCAGGAGCCAGGATGTGTGGGCCCTGTCACTCCCAGAGGCACCCTGCACTGCAGACCTTAGCGGAAGGAGAGCCGGTCTTCACGCAAGACCTTCCTTGGTGTAGAATGCCAACCGGGACCCCAAGGGTTAAGGCCACTGCAGTCCAGCTGAACGCGTGCAGGCTGACGCGGAGGGGATCGCGGCTGTGGCCCGGCCTGCAGGTGCCCAAGGCTGGGGAGCGGCCGGTGTTCTCCTGCATCTGCGTCTGGGAGGCGCAGGGCAGACGTCCAGCCTGCAGGAGCAGGAAGCCGGACGCAGACCACAGACGGGGCGGCTGCAGCGGAGCCCAGGGCCCATGCCGGGCTGGCCCCACCCTCGGGGTATCGGTTGTCCCTGGGGGTCCCACCACCTGCAGGCCAGGACCCGGCTGAGAGGAGTCTTTTGTTTTGTTTTGCTGCTTTTCTTGGGTAATCAGACACTCGGAGTAGAAGGCCCTCAGAGGCCAGTTAGCCGACTGCCCCAGCTTCCCTCTGTGTCCCCTCCGTGGGGTTGCCTGGTTTTGGCTTGAATACCTCTGGGGACGAGGGCCTCACTACCTGAGGCTCAGCACCCTTCCTATTTTTTGAGGGGGAAGCCGCTTCCCGCCCTGAGGGTCCTAGTTTCTGCACGCACTCGCCTGTGAGCGATCCTGAGTGCCCACGTAGAGCTTGGCAGTGGGGCAGGCCTGCAGAGCTGGGTCCCGGGATGGCGGTGCCCCGGGCACGTCCTCACACCCAGGCATCTCCCTGGCCCTGCCGCCTGGGGCGCATCTCCTCTTGGGTGCAGCCCCCAGTGGCAGCACCCAGCCGGATGCTGTCTTCCTGGGGGTGGAACCTGAGGCAGCAGGACACTGTCCCTGTCCCATCCCCATCCCTGAGGTATGGGGACCACAGGGCATGGTGTCCGGCCACAAGGGGCCCCTCCCCACTGACCCTGACCTCTGTCACCTCTCAGCAGCCTGCCCGGCCCTCCACCCGGATGGCTCCCTCCCAGGTAGGTCCCCCCACCCTGTGTGGCGGCTGCTTCCCACCAGCCCCTAGCCGCCCCTGCTCTGGGTCCTTGTCGGGGGTGTGGCCTGGGACTGGGGTCAGGCAATGCTGGAGGCCCGAGTCCTGCGTGGCCTCCGTGAGCCTCTGCTGACCAGGAACGGGGCGGGCGAGGGGCTGAGCCAGGGTCCCTGGCATCGCATCTTTACTGCTGTGGGTCTGAGACAGCCAGAGGGAAGGCTGACACGTGGGCCTCCCTGGTCAGGGAGATCTGCCAGGTTGGGGCGGTGGGGTCGGGCTTCAGGCGGGGGCCCAGCTTGGGACGGGGTCTCCCGCGGGATGTCCAGCAAGCTGCTCAGCCCCAGCTGCAGGGCCGGCGAGTGGGGATGGGGGTGGGATGGGCGGGGGTCCGGGCACTGAGGGCCGCCGGGAGGCGAGGGCTGCGGGCAACAGAAGGGGCAGGACGGTGCTGCTTGTGTGTCCTTCCCCAGGTCAGGATGGAGGGAGAGGGGGAGGAGCAGGCCCCCGAAGGCCTGCGTCTCCCTCGCTGCCTCTGCTGCCTCCTCTCACCTGACACCTGGCTTTCTTCTCTGCCTCCTGCCCCCCACCTCCCCTCCCATCTCTGCTTGTCCCTCACGCCCCACCCCTCCCCAGGCTTTGACCTGATGGCAGCCTTCGGGCTGGTGGAGAAGGAATACGCCTCCATCCGTGGCATGGCCATGGAGCCCTCGGCCTTTGGCCCCATCAGGACCTTCACGCTCTTCAAGGATGCTCAGCTGACCCGCCGGGCCAGGTCGGGGAGGCGTGGGCCTGGGAGCAGGAGGGCACCCTGCGGGGGTTGTGGGGGGGGGCGTCCCCCAGGCCCAGCGGCTGCACCCCAGAGCCAGCCAGGGAGACTCCCGGGGGGACGTGGGCTCCGGGAATCCGAGTTCCACAGATTAATAAATCTCTTGTGGGCGGAATGAGGCCACGGTTGGGGGGGCTCCTTCTCCCCATGTGGCCCAGGGATCGACCAAACTTGCAGACTTCTGGGCGGGGGCCACCAAATTTGTCTCCCTGAGAACTGCCTCCTTTGTGCTTTAATTTGATTCTGCAAATATCCGGGGTCTGTAAGAAACCACTGCTTTGTGACTCACCACGATCAAGGCTTGTGATGACCTCCGAGGTCTAATAGTCGCCCCACTTCGTATATGGAGGTGTCTTTAATCACTCATTGGAAATTCCACATGCACAGCATAATTTTTCTTAAGTTAAAATGTTTTACATTGCAAAGGTAAATCACGTACTTTATAATAGAAATTTGAGAAATACAAAATGCAACCCTGGGGCTGCTAAGAGTGGAAGGGGCTCCTCCCTGGGTCAGGAAGTCTCCCCAGGAGGTGGCAGAGGGTAGGAGAGAATGGGAGAGGGGAGGGCACTCAGGAAAAGGAGCAGCACGTGCCAAGGCCCTAGGGTCGCTTTGCTTAAAGAATTGCAGCCATGAGGCTGGGCTGTGTCTTCCAGGCCCTTGGTTATCCCAAGAGCAAAGGAAGGGCAAATAGGGAGGCTGCAGGCCATTAGGAGCGATTTTATTGGGTGACTCAAGACCCTGTTCCCTGCCCCTGCCCACCGCTGAGCACCAGGGTGGGCACGGCACCAGCACAGACCCCAGCTGCCCACCCAGTCTGAGCAGCTCCCAAGGGCAGAGCTGTCTCTGGGCTCGTGGGCTCCTGGCCCAGGAGACAGGCTCAGAGACTTTGCTGGGAGCCCTCGACCTGCACCCTCCCCACCCACGCAGAGACCCTGAAGAACGATCATCGTGGACACTGGCCGTGGTCCCTTCTGGGCCTTGGGGGAGCTATTCCCGTTGAAACCTGACAGGCCCAGGCTGGGAGTCCTGCCCCTCACACTCCCCGCGTTACTCACGGGGAAGCCGAGGCAGGAGAGGCCCAGCCTGGCCCCGAGGACCCCACTCTGCGGCCCCGGGGGTCCGGCCTCCTCTCAGGCCTGCGGTCACCCCTGCTGTGTGCCCACAGCGACATCCACCTGGCCACCCTCCCCACGGAACACACAGTCGTCTTCCTCCTGCGCCTGCTCCCCGAGACGCCCCGCGAGGTCTTTGCGCTGTGGCAGGTGGCGGCCGAAGACTTCCGGCCCGTCCTGGGGGTCCTGCTGGACGGTCAGTTGGAGGGGAGCGGTGGGCCCCAGTCACTCCTCGAAGGCAGGGGCCACTGGTGCAGCACGGCCTCTGAGGCTTTGCACGCCCATCGTGGCCCCACTCCGGTGCGTCCTCCCGCCTTTCGCCTGGGGGTCTCACGTGCTCCCTGCCCCGCCCCCCAGCCAGCAGAAAGTCGCTGACCTACTTCCGCAGTGACCCCAGCGCCACCCTGCAGGAGGCCACCTTCGACCTGCCCGACGTGAGGAGGATATTCTTTGGGAGCTTCCACAAGGTCCTGGAAGGTCCTGGAAGGACCAGCGCGTGTGCCTCCCTGCCTAAGACCCTCCTGGCTCCCAAGTTCTGGGGCAGACCCCCCACGGGGCTCTGCAGGACACAGGCTGCCCACCCCCGTCACCGTGGCTCCCCCCTCTGCTCCTGTGGTCCCCTCCACCCTGGACGTCCTTACCTTAATTTGGGTCAAAGAGCATCCCGCCCTTTCTCGTGCGTCCCACAAGTCCCTGGGAGGGTCTGTGCGGGATGTCATTTGGTCCATTTCACAGGAGGGAAACTGAGGCCCCGCGAGGGGGGTCTCACGAGACTTGCGGTGGAGTCAGGATCCTGACCCCAAGCCCCAGGGGATAGTCACCTGCCCCTCCCCGCTCTGGCCCTGGCCTGTGGGCGTGGAAGGGAGCCCTTCTTGGCCCGGGGCCGCAGGAGACCTCCTGGTGTCTCCCAGGTGCATATAGCCGTGGGCCGCTCCAAGGTCAGGCTCTACGTGGACTGCCGGAAGGTGGCTGAGAAGCCCACTGGGGAGGCCGGCAGCCTGCCCACCACCGACTTCGTCACACTGGGGAGACTGGCCAAGGCCCGGGGCCCCCGGAGCAGCTCAGCCTCAGTGAGCCAGACAACCCGGGGCTGGTGGACCCCCTCCCGCCCCCTGACCCAGCTGCACCTGGCTGACCCTGCCCCTCCCCCCAACCTGCAGTTCCAGCTCCAGATGCTACAGATTGTGTGCAGTGACTCCTGGGCAGAGGAGGACAGGTGCTGCGAGCTCCCGGCTTCGGTAGGCGGGCAAGTGCCCACTGAGGGCAAAAGATTCTGGGGGTAGACTGGCCATCCAGGTCATTGCCGCTCCAGGAGAAATCCAGACAGCCTTCCTGGAGGAGGCGGCCCCCGGGGCTAGAGCCGGAGCTCAGGGCGACTGGATGTGTGTCCTGGAGGCCCTGAGGCAAGGCAGGCTGGAGCAGGCCTGGAAGCTCCCAGCCCCAGGGGTGGCTGCTTCCACATACTCAGGGCCACTGCCCTTTTCTGTGGGCACAGTTGTGGGCAGGGGTCCTTACCGACTCCCCTGGGTGCCCACACCGGGCTTGGCCATGCTGGTGGCCTGCAAGGGACTCCCCTGTGTCAGGGGGCTTGTGTCAGGCAGCTTGGGGGGTGGGCACCCAGGACCAGGTCCTCCCCCTCCCCCCCAGCCTCCCAGGGGTGGGTTTGGAGGCTCCATGGACCCTGGTGTCCGTGGATACCCTGAGCTCTAGGGTCGAACAAGAACTGAGGAAAGGGTCCATTTAATGGTGGGGGTCTCCTTTCTCCCAGAAGGATGGAGAGACCTGCCCTGCCTTCCCTTCTGCCTGTGCATGTTCCTCGCAGACCCCTGGGCCCCCGGGCCCCCAAGGACCTCCTGTGAGTCCAGCAGCTCCTCCCTGGGGTGACCAGGGACTCCTGGCATATCTTGATGCCAGCGGTGATGAGGGTGGCCCCCGCATGCCCCAGCAGCCGTCCCTAGGCCCACCACCCAGATGGGATAGACTTCATGAGTGTCCTGCCCGCCTCTTCCACCCCATGGCCCACGAGTCCCCTCCTGCAAGCCCCTTCCTCCCGATGGCCACCCTCTCCCGAGCAGGCCCCTCTCTGGTGTCGAAATCAAACTCCCCCACTGGGGTGGGGGTCTGGGCCCAGCAGTCTGCAGCACCGCGCTTGTCCCTGGCCACAAGTCGCAGCCACACAGGCAGCCTCTGTCCTGGGCGCTCTGGGCTGTAGGGTAGCCCTGAGGGGCCTTTCCCCAGGCCTCCAAGGAGGCGTCCTGGGCCCCGCTGTGGGGCAGGTCCAGACCCTCTGGCCACCCTGAGGCTCCAGGACCCGTTCTAGCTGGTGGTCCACAGACCTCACCAGGGAGGGGCCAGGGCTGGAACCCAGACCCGCCTGAGCCCATGAACGCGGTAACCAGTTGGCTGTGGGAGGGCAGGGTGGGCCAGGATGGCCTCGCCCCCGGAGCCCCTTCTTCTTCTCCCCCTAGAGGTGGGGACTGGAGTCCAGGGCTGCTGGGGAGGCCAGCGTGCAGCCCGGCCTCAGCCTCGCTTGTGTTTCTGCAGGGCCACCCTGGGAGGGACGGAGCCCCAGGAGAGCAGGGCTTCCCAGCGCCCAGGGTGAGTTGTGAGGCGTCCTGGCGGGGGGGTGCAGGACTGAGCCCCCCGCAGCCCAACCCCAGGCGGGAGCGGGGCCCCCCAACCGGGCTACGGTGCCCTCCCTGCGGGGCCCCAGCCTAGGGACCGCGTGACGGGCAGTCTTGGGCGTCTGGCCAGGACGTGTGTCCTCTGCCCTCAAGTGTGTTTCTCTCCCCAGTGGCTCCACCGGCTTTGAAAGTTGCTGGTGTTTTCTCGTTGGACGCGTGGCCTCCAGCCCCCGCTCCGCTGGGTTACCTCTTCTTCTTCACTCATGGGGCTCTAGGTTTAATGGAAACACCTGTGCCCTGAGTTGTGACTAGTTTACCCTGTTGTTGTCTTTTGACCTGGCCTACCATACGTGTCTCCAGGCAGATTTTAGGATCGCCTTTGTCTAGTGGACCGCATGGGTCTGTCTCTACGGCTCCTGACTTCCGCACCGTGTTTCAAGGCTTTCCTCAGTCTGAGAGGGCCCACCCGCTCCCGGTCCCTTCTGGTGCTTCTAGCACCTTCCGACACACAACGTGCTTCCTCCTGCCTCCCCAGACCACTGCCCTGTCCGTCCTCCCAGTGTTGGGTAACCACAGCCCCCGCCAACTTCAAATGCAGCCTAATCACATCACGAGTTTCCACGGACTCCAGAGTCCAAACGGCTGCCTCAGACGCGGATCCTGGTGTCCAGCTCCGCCTTCAGCTTCCCCAAATCCTCTGTCCTCTCTGTGTACGATTTTTGTGCCCCATTTATTACTCAGTTAGCTTATTTGCAATAGTTTTTTATTTTCAGATGGTTTTCTTGGAATTTCCTGGTTTAAATTTACATCACCTGTGAAAAATCACTTCACTGACTCCGATTTTTATTACACTCGTTTATTTTTCTTTTTATTTTTCTCGTTTATTTGTCTGGTGTGGTGACACTCCAGAGTTTGTCAGAGAACCGCGGTGATAGAAGACGTCCTCATGTTTGCCGGTTGAGTGTGGGGCTGGCCTGGGAGCTGAGACAGATACATTTTGCCACGTGATAGTCAAATCCTACCCTTATTTTATTAGGAGATTCTAAAAATCAAGAGTGGGCGTTAAATAAGATTTAGTGCCTCGTCAGCTGCTGTGGACGCAAACAAATCATTTTTCTTCTTGAAGCTATTAGTTTGGTGAATGATTTAATCTCTCCCACGTTCTGAACCGCGCCTGCTCCCGTTAAAAGCCGGCTTGGTCACCGAGCGCTCGCGGCCCATTTAATGGGCTGCAGGCTTCTGTGCACTCAGGTTTTATTTAGGAGTTTCGCATTGATATTCACAAATGGGAATGCCTGTGGTTTGCTTTAGAGTTTGGTGCATTGATATGCATGACTCACATGATTATTTGAAAGCAGTCTTTTTGTTTTTAAACTGCAAATCAAGCAGTTTAAATGGCGTTAGTGTCATCTGTCCCTTAGAGGTTTGGTAGAATGTTCTGGTGTCTGGGGATCAGGGCTCTGTGCTGGCCCGTCCAGAGTCGGCCCAGCTCCTGCCTATACAGTGGGGTCATAGCAGGACCCCTCCCTCCCAGAGTGCTCTGCGAGGGTGAAGATGCCTGTGACGGGCCTGGGTCTGGAGACCATGGGCCGGCAGGAGGGCGGGATCGAAGGAGGGGCAGCAGGACGGGCCACACGTCTTCTCAGCCCCACCACACACCCCCGTGTCTCTAGGGAGGGCCCGGGCCACCTGGACAGATGGGACCCGAGGGTCCTGGAGGTCAGCAGGGGTCACCAGGCACCCAGGGCCAAACCATCCAGGGACCTGTGGTAGGTGTTGCCTACCCCCCAGCACCCACCCCCAGCCCCTCTACCCTCGCCCTCCCTCCCATCCCCCTGCCCCTCTCCCCTCACCCTCCCACCCATCCATCTTCCCCATCCAGGGTCCACCAGGGGTCAAAGGAGAGAAGGGGGACCATGGACGCCCCGGCTTGCAGGTAGTGGGTCAGACCACACTCGGAGCACCAGTGCTGTGTGCTCGGGACGGAGGTCTGGGGACAGGGCCTCCCCCTCCGGGTCGGACCTCGGCCCAGCCTGGCTGGCTGCCTCTGCTCTATTCCAGGGCCACCCCGGCCTCCAGGGCACCCCTGGGAAGGTTGGCGTCCAGGGACCAAAGGTGGGAGACGAGCCTGGCCGGGAGGGTCTGGAGATGGAGACTGTGGTGGGGCTTCCTTCTCTGCCCCACACCCACCTCCCCCGCTATCCTGCCCCCGCCGGGGCCTGGCTGGTGGGAGGGGAGTGTCAGCCCACACAGACTGGGGCATGAGTGGTCACTGCCCGGGGCGGGGGCAGGCCCTGGGATGGACCAGCCTCAGCCCGGCACAAGCACGTACCTCCGACAGTGGTGGGTTTTGGGGGTCACTGTGGGAGGAGCACCTGCCTCTGCCCCGCCCACCCCTTCCTTTGCCCTCAGGGAATGAGAGGCCTGGAGGGGACTGCTGGCCTGCTCGGACCCCCTGGCCCTAGGGTGCGTATCGCCTCCTCCGTGAGCCCCCAACACCACTCACCCCACCGGCCCTCCCCAGGTTTCTTGGGGCTATGCTGAACAGTGACCGGGGAGGCCTCTCAGCCCCAGGCTGGGGCCTTGTCAGCAGCGGCGCTGGGCTCATGAGAGTCCTTATCCCAGGAGCGCAGCAGCCGCGCCCCCCCGCCCCCCTCCCCGCTCCCCGCACCGGGCAGGTTGGTAGGAAACGCCGCCACTCCACACGGCAGGAAGGTGCCTGGGCTTCCGGGTGGGCCTGGCTGCAGGACGTGGTCGGGCCCCCCTTCTCCCTCTCTGCCTCCAGAAACCCTCACCTCGGCAGCCCAGGCCGCCCTGCTGGAGGGCTGGGGGCACGGGCCGTTCACTCGGAAGCGCCTTCCCTCCCAGCCTGGTGTTCCTGGAGGTCAGAGTGGAGCTCAGGGGCTGGGAGCTCCTCTGAGTTGGGGGTCCGGGGCCGGCAGCCCAGGCCCGGCCAGGATCTCCCGGGGGTCGGCCTCGCTGGGTTCCTGGAAGGCCGAACTGCCCCTCCTGCAAGAAGCCCCCGCGGGGGGCCCGTCCTGCGGTCACACCCGGACTACTGGGACGCGGGCGGGGACGTATTAGTGCAGAACTAGCGACAACAGGCAGGGCGTGCGGGGGGGCTGCCTGGGCGCGGGGTGGGTAGGAGGCACAGCCTGCAGGAGGCTGGGGACAAGCTAAGGGGTCCCCTTATAGCTTGTCTTAGCTTTGCTCTTGGTCCAGAGCAGGCGGGACCGAAGGGAGGGGCCCCCGCACCGGAGCTGCAGCCAAACCGGAACCCCCGCCTTTGCAGGGCTTCCAGGGCACGGCGGGGGCCAGAGGCAGCAGCGGGGAGCGAGGACCCCCGGGGGCTGTGGGGCCCACGGTAAGCCCCTCCCTACCCAGCCCACCCGCCCGACAGCAAGGGGGGGGGTGTCACATGTGTGCAGACTTGTCCCCGCTGACCGCTCGGGGTGTCCTGCGACCGGCACGTTTGTAGAGCGAGGCCGGCACAAAGCTCGCAGGGGAGAGAGCCCAGGCTGCCCCCTGCCCGGCCCAACACAGACAAGGTGGGGGGCAGGTGAGAGGACGTGGGCTCTAGGGGCCGGGGAGGGGCAGACCTGGGCCTGCAGGCTGGGTGGGGCCTGGGGGGCAGGGAAGCTCCCTCTCGCAGCGGGAGAGGTGGGTCCTCTGTCCTCTGGGGACTCCTGGGATGAGTCCTGCACGAAGCCTTCGGTTGGGGGGCACGGTGGGCGGGTGGCCACGGGGTCCAGATGCTTCTCCTTTTCTTCCCACTCAGGGGCTGCCGGGGCCCAAGGGGGAGCGAGGAGAGAAGGTGAGTGTGGGGAGTCTGGGGTCTGGGCCGTCCCTGGGGAAGCACAGGGAGGCACTGACTCGGGCAGCTCGATCCGCTGGCCACGTGGCCCGTCCTCCCTTCCAGGGCGAGCCACAGTCCTTGGCCACCATCTACCAGCTCGTGGGCCAGGCCTGCGAGTCCGCCATCCAGAGTGAGTGGCCCAGCCTCCCGTGAGGACCCCAGAGCCTCTGCCTTCACCCAGGAGGGAAGGGACGCCCAGCGCCCGGTCGTTAGCGAACCCAGCCTTGCGGCCGTTCTCCTGGGCCACGTGCCTCGGACCAAGGCAGGGAGCGAGGGAAGGTCTCCCTGCCCCGCCCCCTCTGACCGTCCTCCCCTGCAGCGTACCTGCTGAAGCTCCACGCCTGCACCCACGAGAGCACCCGGCCCCCCATGCCCATCTTGGAGGCCCCCAGGGCCTTCGGCACGCGCAGAGAGGCCCGGCTCCCTGGAGAAGGGGGGCACGGTGGCCCCCGCCCAGAGGACAGAGGTATTGGCCCCCATGGGGAAGGGTCTCCCCCAGTCCTGGGGCTGGTGGCTCTGTGTGGCCCTCCTCCCCCAGGTGACAATGGGTGGGGAGACAGGCCCCCTGAGCCCACACAGAACTGGGGCTGCCTGGCTGCCTGGGGCCCTCGAAACAGCCCCTTCCCCAACCTCCCAGCAAGCCTGAGCTTAGGGCCTCTTCCCCAGCCTCTGGTCCCCTCCCTCCCGTCCCTGATCCGTCCCCCTCTCCTTGGCTGCCGCAGCGGGAGGCTTGGTCCAGTGACCTTGTTGTAAAGAGTCCGCCCATCTGACTGCGGCTGCGGCGCCGTTCACGGCTCAGATGCTGATGCTGAGATGGACGGAGAAGTTGATGAGGGGAGACGGAGCTTGTGGCCTCGATGGGGAGGAAGGAGACGGGGGGGCGTGGGATGTGGCGGCTGGGAGGACAGCTCTGCGCCGAGGGCAGGGGGTGGACAGGGATGGGCGGAGAAGGGACCCCCCCCGACTGCACCCACCACAGTCCCCCAGACATTGTCTTTGCCGTGTGTGCCCCCCGTTTGTACCTGCCGTCCAAAGCTGGCAGGCGCTGTCATGATGCCCACCCCAGCCCCCTCCCCCGTCCCCACCGCACACTAAACCCCGGCCTCTGAGACAATGATCAATGCCTGTTTGAGGTCAGGGACCCCCGACCCTAAGCTTTCAGCCTCAGCCTGAAGGCTGGACCCGCTGCCCCCAGGACCCACCTTCCCCAGGTCAGCACAGGCCCCTCAAGAAGGGAAAGCACTGCCGCCTGCACCCCTTGGTCCGGCACATCCCTCCTTCCCCTCCGCTGGGCCTGGAGCCCTCAGTCGGACAGGCAGCCCTGGGCCGCAGCGGGGAGCGGTGGGGGGGTGGGAGCAGCGGGAAAGTCGTGCAGGTGCCAGAGAAGCAACTGGGGTGGGCGCAGTGGGGCGTGTGGGGGCCTCGGGGGAGCCGGCAGGACTGAGGTGGGTGCGGGAGACAGAAGCTGGCCCAATGGGAACCCAGGGAGGCCCTGAGGGGGGTCAGCACCGCAGTGGACACCCAGCCAGGCTGGCTGGCCGGGGCAGGGGCCCAGGGGGCAGCGTCCTGAGGGGCGGGTCTGTGCAGAGGGCTCACGGTCCAGCCGGGACCCGGGGGCCTGGTCCACGCAGCCGCGCAGGCCGGGCGTTGCTTTCTGATGGCTGTCAGCTGTCCGCCACCTCCCCCAGACCTGACCACCCTTTCCTCCTGCCAGGACGGTCCCCCTGCTGCCCCGAGTGAGCCCGAACGTCCCCCCACCGGATCCCAGACACCGAGCGCAGCTGGAGAAGAGGGTCTGGAGGCGGAAGGAGGGGAGGCAGAGGCCGGGCCCGGGAACCGTTCCTCTGTGCACTTCCTGTTCAGATAAACCACGTGTACTTGTCAAGGAGGGTGCTGCTCATTGGCGGGGCCCCCACGTCCGCCCCGTCAGGTGGAGTCCCAGATTCCCCACCCCCGTCTCTCGGAGAGGAGCCGCCATCCATCCTCGGCCTCAAGGACCCCCCCACCATACTCTCCCTGTAACCCTGGGGCTTGCCCCTGCTTCCTGTGGGGCCACTGCAGCCCCCAGACTCCAGTGCCCCGGTGGCCCCGGCCGGCCCCTCCAGAGCTCAGGCCCCGCTTGGGGGTCTCGGCCTCGGCTGCACTCTGAGTCCGCAGGGTGGGGGTGGGCTTGGAGAACACTGGCGTGGCTGCCCCGGGCCTAGCCAGGGGCTCCCTGCCTCCCTAGTAGCGCCCCCTCCTCTAGAGTCGTAAAGTCTGGCTCAGCCCCCATGTGCTCAGGCCTCATGGGACCCCAACCCGCTGGCCCCTCACCTCGTCACTGCCCGGCACGCCTCCCCCTCCCTGTGACCAGCCTGGACGCCACCGTCTGTGCAGTGCCCGTTCCCCCCCCCCCCCCCCCCCCCGCTCCCCATCCACCTGGGAGGCTCGCCAGCCAGCCGTGGGCCCTGGGGCCAAGCAGTTCCCTGAACACCAGGACGAACCGGGGGTGGGGCCCGTGAAGGCTCCGAGGTGACACTGGGGCAGAGACAAGACAGAGTGGGAGGAGGAGACCGTGGAACGTTCCGGGCAGCCTGGGGCTGGGCCTGGCTGCGCCTGACCCAGAAATGGCAGGAGGACTGAGCGAGCTGAGCACAGGCCAGGGAGGGGTCAGCCCGGGGAGCGGGGAGCAGGGCAGGGGCTGCGGGGAGGGGTTTGGGTTTTGTCCTCAGAGCGACTGGAAGCCCCGCGTTCTGAGCAGGGGCTGCCGTGACCTGGCATCTGTGCGAACGACCTGTAGGTGAGAATGCAGGTGGCCAGGTGGGGGGGATGCCCACTGGCATGGAGGTGGCCGGACTGGGGAGGTGATGGCTTGGAAGGGGTGGGCGGGGGCTGAGCCCTGGGCGAGGTGGGGTCCAGGGGCCCAAGAGCAGCCAGGTGGTGGGGGGAGGGGCTGGGTGGGTTGGCGAGAGTGGGGTTCACGGGGGCAGAGTGTGGGTGCTGCCATCTCAGAGCGGCAGTGAAACAGACTGGGCTCGTCACAGGACTGAGTCCCTCGTGTCTCCAAGGCCGGGCGGGGAGGGCCGGGGGCAGCAGCAGGAGGGGGTGGAAGCTGCCAGAGACCACCTGTCAGGATGCGGCTGGCAAGCGGCAGAGGAGAAGGCTCTAGAGCCGGGGAACACCTGCTCAGGAGGCAGGCGACGCCCCCGCAGGAAGGGTGAGATGGGCAGGAGTGGGCACTGGCCTCTGCCAACCACCCTGTCCAGTAGCATCGCCTCTGGCCCTTTATGGTTTGAGCTGCCTCAAGGGCTGACATGAAGCCCTCACAGGACAGTAAACGTCCCTCCCCAATTTCCCCCCCCAGCCCCGTGTGCGCACACACGCACACACACACACACGCGTGTGTGCATCTCCCCCTGTGGGCACACGTGCTCCCGCACATTCACACGCGCAGCGCTGCTCCCGGGTTTGGGAGATGAGTTAACGGGAAACGCGACATGTGAGCCGCACGACCGCCGAGCAGGTCTCGGGGGTTGAAGGAGAATGCGGGTCCCCTTTCGTCCATTAATTTAAAATTACAGTATCTTCAAAGAGGGAAGGACGGGTAGTAATAACATGGAGCTGAAATGAACAGGTGCGAAGAAACGTGGCGTGGGAAACAAAAGGAGAAATAAAGTCGGTGAGGCAGGCTCAGTAATTACGGGCCCAACTTCAGACAGGCCGTGGGATTCGGGGGAGAGAAGCCACCCAGGGGCTCGGGGGAGGATAAAAATGGAAAAAGCGTTGCATCCTCATGAGGGGCTCCAAGAAGAAACAGGAAGTCAATGGAGGGAGCAGAATGTTGAAATAAGTACTTTTTTAAAGATTTGAGAATTAGAGAAGGATTTAAAATCCCAAATGGAAAGTCTCAGAGGGCAAAGTGGGACCGACTTTTAAAACATACCCTTAGATTCACTGATGCAAAAAAACAAAGATGGTGGGGAAATTCTTTAAACGCTTTTCTACAAAAAGACAAGAGTCGCCCTACGTCAAAAGGTGGGGGAAATGACCTCAGAGTGTTGAAGGGGAAAGGCTCGAATTTTATGCCCAGCAGAATTACTACTGAAACGAACAGGGTGAAAATACATTCTGAGGCCCACAAAGTCTGAGAAGGCAGGTCACACGTCACAGGGCATCCTCTTCGAAATCTGGCTGGTGACGTTTTCTGCAGAAAGGGAAAGTAACCAGCACTTAGGCCCGATACACGGAAAATCCCAGGTAAGTAAAAACCCTAGTGACATTCGCCGTTCACAGAATCGTCAAGCCCTCCCCAGACCATCACATCGGTGGCAACCTAGACTAGATTCCAGGCTGTTCCAGAATCCCTGAGGGCAGCCGAGGTGCTTGCTTTCTTTGGAGGTGGGAGGCATGATGGAGACAGTTTTCATGTCATCTTGTTAGGCTCTTGAAAAATACCAACACTCTTTAAGTTAGGAGCAGCCACCAGGAGGGAAACCACTGAACATATAACCTTCAAGATTAGCCAACTAGATCAAGTTTTCTTGTATGTAGGGGGACAGAACACATGCAAACAGAAAAATCAGAGAGACGGCCTAACCATATCCCAGTGTGGCAGAAATTACAACAAATAGCGGGGAGTTTAACCCTTCAAAAGATTACAGCTTTCTACTTCTAGCCGTGATGGAGTAACCCATACTGGACCAAAAACCATTAAAAAGCATGGAAAATATACGAGGAAACTGTTTTTAGGCATTTTAATGTAGAAGGGTCAGTGTTTCAACAAATGGTGCTGAAACAACCCTCTCCCGGGTGTGTGAGGCCCCCAAGGTGTCAAAACATCACAAGACACAGAAAATGAAACACAGTCAACACTAAAAGAAGGAGGACACCCAGCGGGACCTGCACACAGCGGCTTGAGTCAGAATGACCGGACAGAGGCCAGCACAGGTGACGGAGACACAGACTTGCTTTAGTTTATTTGGACAGAAGAACACGACTCAGCAACTAACGACAAAACTGTTTACGGAGACACGGCCATGGCGGATGGAGACACGGCCATGGTGGGCGTTGACCGCACCACACCTGGTGGAAGACCAGGACAGAAAGGCTGAGAACGGGGGGTTCCACGCACACCAAGGTCAGAGAACGCCTCTGGTGAGGAATTCAGAGCCATCACTGCCACCGGGCACAGGCTGGAAGGGGCTGGAGGGGGCTCTGGGGGATGGGGGCCTTGGGGTCGAATCTAGTAAAACTCACTGATCTGAGGGCTTAAGACCAGGCATTTTGTCATAGGTAAATTTCATGTCAATCAAAACAAACAAAACAGAAACCCTGGAGGCAAACACCTCAAAGTAGCGGTCATGGTTAATTTGGTGGGAATGTGGGCGATGTATTCTGTGTGCGGATTTTCTGACTTGTGTTTGGGTCTCAAAAAACAGAAAAAGCGGAAACCAGAAAGGGGAAGCATCCCCATCCCTGGGGCTCCTGCTGTCTCCCGACCCAGAAAAGAGCATCTGCAGCTGGGCACCCCCAGGGCTCCCCACAGCTGCCCCGTATCTGGCGCTGGATCCGCTTACGTAAGGAGGATTGAGGCGTTGACATCTGAGATCTGTGTCCTGGCTGCGTCCTCGGGGGGCCTGGCCCTCCCCCGCTCCGCTGCCGGGTCCTGGGTCCTGGGGAACGCCCACCCGGGCTCTCCCCCAGCATCCTGGGATTGGTGCCCCAATGGCCCCAGGAGACAGGTGCCTATCTGAGATGGGCAGATGGGGGCCTGGATGTCCAGGGGGCCGTCCTGAGCCTCACAGGCGGCGGGGTGGGGGGGCTGCAGGCTCCAGCCTCCTCCGACCTGGCGTTGCCCTCCAGCTGCACCTCTACAGCAGCATCTCTGAACTTCACTAAATTATTCACTCCATCCTCCCCAGCACCTTGTGCAGGACCCAGGCACAGCCTGGGGAGTGGGGAGACCCAGGGCTCCAAGGGGGCCGGCTCCAACCTGCCAGCCACACCCCCCATGCATGGGGTCTGGGGAGGTGGGAGCTTGACCATAAAGGGGGAGCGATTCTTTCAGCCTGGGGGGCCCCCCACCCAGGTGCCACTCCTGGGGGAGGGGCCACATTGTCCAGGACCCGCCTTGGCACCTGGAGCCTGAAGCTTTGGAAGAATCAGAAGATGGGGGGCAGCATTCGCCCACCCCGACACCACCCCCAGGGCTGGTGTTTTCCCAGAGTCTCCAGGGACACTGTTGGTGCCGCCCAGTGCTTAGCCTTGGGGTGGGGGGACACTGGGCCCCCAGGGCCATTGCCCGCGCACCTCCCCCCCCCCACCTCAGGCAGGGCAGCCCCCGCATGGTGTGATGTAGGGCTCCTGGGCTGGGGGGAGGCCTGTGGAGGGTCCCCTCCACCCCCTCGATGTTTCTCAGGGGGGACCACACTCCAGAGGGTCTCCAAGTCGGCCAGATGAGCTGTCGTCGGGTCCCCCCAGGTCACCATGGCTACTGTGTCAGGGAAGTCCTACCTGTGTCTATGCCCCAGAGGGGTCTCCGGGCTGTGAGCAGAGGAGAACCCACGGGAGGTGTCGGGGAGCCCAGTCCTGAACGTGGCTCTGGGTCCCTCACAAAGTACCAGGGCCCACGGGGGTCTGGGGGCATCACAGGCCCCTGCGAAGTGCTGGCCCGAGACCCCCGGCACCCCTGGAAGGCAGACATCTGGACTCCCTGGGGCTGAGGATCCCTCACCCGAGGGGGACCTGCCACTGGATTCTCCTCCGAGCAGGACCACGTCTCATCACTCCATCCCCAAGGCCCCTCAGGCACAAAATCTGGGTTTTCGTTAATTTACCCAGAACAGACCAAAATAAAATCCCTGCTTGGACCCTCCCCTGGCAAATGAGGTTCGAATGTTTGCTGACTCGCCTCTGGGGTCAGAGAGAGCAGGTCTGAGGACCCACGGGTGCCCCAGGCCCGGGTGGGAGAGGCAGCCAGGCCTGGCTCAGTGCCTGGGCCTCGGGGATCCCACAGGGACGAGGGGCTTTGGGGGCTGAGAGGGGCTGAGCGTGGCCACGGGGCGTGGCCCTGGGACAGTCAGGGCTGCTGCGACATTTGCCGAGAGCGGTCAGACGTGCGTCCTGGCGGGAGGCCATCATGTCACCATGCTCCGGATACACCGCCCTGTAGACAGACAGGCGTTTACCAGCCTCCCGGGCAGGTCCCCAGGAGGCAGCTTCCAAGGCCGTCTCACAGCAGACAGATGATGGGGGGCAATCTGGTGAGTGGCATGACCGCATCGAGTGCAGGGAGTCCCCTAGATCATGCCGGCCAGCCAAGGCGGCAGGAAGAGGCCCACCGTCCCCAGCAGGCAGACGAGAACGAACACCCAGAGGAAGATGCGGTCGATGACCATGGCCACGCACTTCCAGTCCTCCTTCACCTGCGGACAGACACACATGGTCACTCCTGGCCGCACCCTCAGGCCTCACCGCAGCGCGAACCTTCTAGAAGCTCTGTTCCTATCCTGGCCTCCAAGGTCACAGGCACACCTGTACTGGGGTGAGGGGTGGAAAGGGGCCACAGAGAAACGGCTTGTCCAGCTCAAGTCCGGGCTCAGAAGCAGTGGGCTGTGGGGTCAGTGCCCTCTACGGGGGCTGGACCGCAGAGCTGCTGCAGGGGACAGGGCCCAGCATGGTGGCCCCACCTGACTTCACCTGCCTGAGCTCCAAGAAGGTCGTGATGCCTCTGGAGGAATGCCAGGGTCCGCACTGTGTCACAGTGCAACGTGCTCTGGGTTTGCTAAAGCTGGCGGCACCGTGGGGACCAGCCAGTACACCCCCATTTGCAGGTGGGCAAGTGAGGCACAGGGAGGGGGCACCCACAGCCTCTTGGCTGTGCAGGGCAAGAGCCAGGAGCAGCCTGAGCAACGGGGCCTGGCCTCCAACAAAAAGCCCAGGGCAGGCTCCACGGTGGACGGCGTCCCAGGAGTGACAGCTGAGTCCCAACTGCCCTTCACTCCCGCCCCCTGCCCCGGGGGTGGCACTCACGGCCGGCTGCCCATGTGGCTCGAGCCCCTCATGGGTCAGGGGCTCTCTCGGCTCTGTCCCTAAAGCCGCTTGAGGGTGAGGGTCACACGTGAAGGAGGGCACAGCCCTGTGTTGCCTCTGAGCCGTGCAGCTGCCGGGGCAGAGGGCTCCATGCAAGGGCAAGCGGGGGACCCCGGGTTTGAAGTGGGGGCACACGCTGAGTGCATCACCTGCGGTTGCTCCCTTGGACTCGACAAGGAAGGTGACTGCACCGTCCCGTCTGCAGGTGGGACCCTGAGGCCCAGGGCGGTGCAGGATGGGCCGTGGTTACACGTCCACGCTGGGCGAGCAGGCCCCGGCCTCCACCGGGTGTGACCCCAGGGCAAAGGCTCAGGGAGGCCACAGGCGGGTCCTGGGTGGGCAGCTGTCAGCCCTTGAGTGACCAGAAAGGATGCGGCCCCCAGGCTCAGGCCAGCCAGGCGCCAGTGGGTCTGATGGGCCTGGGCAAGGGCAGGCTCGTCACACCCCGTTTGGGGGCCGTCGAGGGAAAGAAGACTTCTCACTGCTGTTTCGTGCTCTGATTTTTAAAGTAATCAGAGGCGTCCTGATAGTTTTAAGCCAAAGTTTATTCTCAGGAAACCAGAGCAAACGGGGTCACTATAAGCGAGGGAGCACCAGGACCCTCTGTTCCAGGAAGCAGCCCCGCGGCGCGCGGCCTCTGCGCTGCCTTTCAAACCGCCCCTCCTCCCAGGATGAAAGGCTCGCAGACAAAGCTGCCCCAGCCCGGATCCCAGGCTGGTTCCTGTGAAGTCGCTTTGCTCCCCAGAGCCCGGGGATGACACCCAGAACCAGAACCAGGTCGCCACAGCCAGGCCCGCGATGCTGGTGGAGGGGTCTGGGGACGAGGGGCCGGCCCTGCGCTGAGGACCGCTGGGCCTCCGAGATCCTGGTGACACTTCAAAGGCGTCAGTCTCTGCTCAGCAGGCCCTCAAGCCCTCACCAGAGCCAGAGGTCCTCTCGTCTCAAGAGCTGGCTGCAAGATGGAACCTTCCAGAAACCCCCAGGTGGCCTCACAGCCCCTTGGGATTCAGGGGGATGACCAGCCGGTACAGGGAGACCGGCTCACTGCTGGAGGCGGGGCTCAGCCACGGGACAGACGGTCCCCAGGGATCACGCATGTCTGGGAAACGATCACGGGCCATTCCCAAGGAAGCAAAGGGACCAGGAGGTTCCTGGAGGGAATGGCAGTGTCACACCCGCCCCCAGGTCCAGGGAGGGGACAGCAGTGTCACGCCCGCACCCAGGGTCCATGTCACGGGCAAGAAGAAGCTAATGCGGGGCGAGGTCAACCTAGCATAACTGATGCCCAGGTTGAGCAACCGGTAATGACCAGGCTGACTGACCAGTGCCCTCCCCCTACCCGCCTGTCTCTGCCCATGCCCTGAACTGGGGCTCAGCCACCAGCCTGGACCCACCCTCACAGGCACCCACGACGTGGCCAGTGGAGCCTGAGCCTCGGGGAGCAGCCCCACTGCCACCCCCCACCAACTCCACGGGGCCCTGAGTCTCAGCCATGTCTGAGCACCCTCCCTGCCCACCCAGACCCCGGGCGCCCTCTCCCCAGCTGGGCACAGGGACGCCGACCAGAGAGGCAGGGCTGTGTCCCAGGCCTGAATTCTCCTTTCACCCCGCCTGGCCGCTGAGGCCACTCAGCCCCCTCCTGTCTCCTCTCAGCCCCTCTCACCCCAACCCCAGGGCCCAGACCGCCCCACTAGTCCTTCTCCGGGAGCCCTTGGCGGGGTGGGGGGCGCTCAAGATCGGGGGAGGCGCTCACCAGGTACAGATGGTGCTGGCAGCCCCACCCCCGCCTGCAGGCTCCCTGCGCCCTGAAGCCCCAAGGGGGTGCCCGAGATGCACTCTGCTCTCTGCCAGCCACTCAGTCACCGCAGGGACCCCCACTGGTCTCGGAGGCTTGGGGCAGAGGGAGCAGACAGCGGGGTGGGGGTGGGGGGCCTCCAAGCTGAGCAGCCGGCTCTGGGACCTGGTTTCTGGGTCTTTCACCGGCCACCCCCTCCTTCAGAGTGGACAGGGCAGCGGGGCCCGTCCGGCACGGCCGTGGCGGGGACTTACCGAGAAGTCCATGTCTTCCGCCTTCAGGTGGTCTGCAATGTACTGGACTCCCTCAACCGCCCGCGCCAGAGCTGGCGACAGGGGCTGGGGTGGCGCGCCGGTGCCGGGGGCCTTGAGCGCGGCACTTGGTGCCTCCGCCTCCGTCCTGCACTTACATTTGCAGGGGGAGGCCTGGTCTGGGGGCGGAAGCTCGGCCGAGGGGGCCGTGGCCAGCGAGGCAGGGGAGCCGTCCGTCGGGCGGCCGGCTGGGGAGGCGGCCTCCTCTCGGGGCACGCAGTACTGGATGCTCTGGGACCGGCACCTCACGCCGCCCTCTGCCACTTCACTGGGGCCGGACACGTGCTGGACGCTCAGGGACCGGGCCTTGGCGAGCCCTGGGGCCCGGGTGCCAGTGGGTGGGCGGCAGGGCCCGGGCGAGGGGCATGGGCCGGCCTTCTCGGCCTCTGAGGGCCGCAGAGCAGAGACCTGGTCCGAGGGCGACGTGCAGGCCGGCCGGTCCGGGCCACAGGATGGGGTCGGGGACGGGGCGGGGCCCCTACTCCTGAGCTCGGGCTCCCCCCGGGGCTCCGGCCAGAAGCGCGGGGCTCCGGCCGCCTCGTGCACGGACCCGACGAGCCGCCGGCAGTTGTCCTTGACCGCGGACGGCCGCTTCATGAAGAGCAGACGCGGCACGACGTCCAGGAAGATGCGGCGGACCCAGGCGGGCATGGTGTGCGTGCGCGGGGAGCGGTGGTGCACGTTGAGCACGAAGACGGTGATGGTGATGGAGAGTGTGACGAAGGTCATGGTGAAGAGCAGGTACTCGCCGATCAACGGGATGACCAGCGAGGTGGATGGGGTGATCTCGGTGATGAGCAGCAGGAAGACGGTGAGCGAGAGCAGCACGGAGACGCACAGCGTGACCTTCTCGCCGCACTCGGAAGGCAGGTAGAAGACGAGCACCGCGAGGCAGGAGACGAGCAGGCAGGGCGCGATGAGGTTGACGGTGTAGAAGAGCGGCAGGCGCCGGATGACGAAGGCATACGTGATATCCGGGTACACCTCCGCGCAGCACTCGTACTTGCGCGTGTTGTAGGTGCCCACGGCGTCCACGATGACCCACTCGCCGCTCTCCCAGAAGCCCAGCTGGTCCACGTGGCTGTGCATGCTCACCAGGTCAATCTTGGCCTTGTCGTAGGTCCAGGACCCGAACTTCATGGTGCAGTTCTGCTGGTCGAAGGGGAAGAAGGTGACGTCGATGCTGCAGGAGCTCTTGTAGATGGCCGGGGGTGTCCACTGCACCCGCCCGTCGTGAAAGAGGTGGGCCTTGGTCAGGTGGGTGACGGCAAAGTCCCCGTCCGCACTGGGTGGGAGACAGAGGGGGTGGGTGAGGTGCCCGGCACCCGCGGCCCGGAAGCTGTCTTCCCCCCGCCCGCCATACGCGCCCCCACTTCGCAGTGGCCTCGCCCAGGACGGGGCGGCCCTGGGCTCGTTGCTCCCCTGCCCGCCTCGCTGTCACCGCCCCTACCCTGGGGGCGATGCTCCGTGGAGACCTTCTCAGCGGCCCACACCGCGCCTGACGCCCAAGCTTGATGACCGTGATTATTTGGGGGCCGGAAAGGCCGTCCACGCCACATCAGGGGCCCCAGGCACACAAGTGGCCCCTGGGTAGCACGCAGAGCAGCTCGTCCCCTGCGGTCACCCCAGAGCTGTGCAGAAGTCGGACCTGTCCGGCCACCTTCTCATGCTCCAGACTGGTGTTTTCTCCCCATTGACCCCACCCCCCTAAACTTAGAGGCAGGACCCCACTTCCTGCACAGGTGAGGACTCCAAGGCCCAACGAGGCAAAGACCAGTCTGGGCCCACCCCGGGCAGGATGTGGACCCCAGCATCACATCCCAGGCCCTCAGCCCTCCTGCCTCTCCCTCGGCCTTGGGGTGCCCTGTCCACAGACTGGTACAGGCAACGAGCGAGGGGCTGCTGTCCCAGCCCTTCTCCTCGCGGGCAGAGTGCCCAGCCTGCAGCCCTGGCCCTGTACCTCCCAGACAGTGACGTCCACCTCAGTTTTCTCCACCAAAGACACCCATGGTGGGATGGGGGGCACACTGACACCGCGAGAGGTGAGGCAGCCAGCTGTGGGGACACAGGGACACCTGCTCACGGCCCCCCTGAAGAACCCTTCTTGCCTCCAGAGTCAGCCACTCTCTTCTCTGCAGCTGGAAGCATCCGGTCCCCAGTCTGGGTCCTGAGTGGGTGCCACCTGGGCCTCGGAGGCCCCTCTGTCGGCCTGTTTCCCCACAAGGCCTGTGCTGCCCACGCCGACCGTGCGTGGTGCCCACAGGCCGGTTGAGGCGGCAGCCGTTCCCCCAGCCCCTCCAGCAGCCCTGCCGCTTCGGCTCTGAAACGCTGATGGGAGACCTCGCCTCCTCCCCCCAGGGCACCCCCCAGACAGCTGGCCCCAGCACTGAGGGCCACCGGACGCTAGTCACCAAGCCCATGTCTTCACACTCGTGTGCTGAGGGCACATCGGCCCCGGCCAGGTCCTCAGAGAGCCTAGGGCTCTGCACGTGGGACCCGGCGCCTAGCGCAGCCCCAGGAAGGAGCAGCTTTCCCCAGGGCACGCTGTCACTACCTGTCACCGCTGCACGAAGTCCCGCCCCTACCCCCACAGCTGGTTCCTGTGCCCCCAGCAAGCCCAGGGGTGTGGACAGCGGGACCGCATGACAGCGCACGTGGGAGGAGGGGAGCCCGAGCCGGCTGGTCCCGTCCCTGCTCCAGGCCGCAGACGCCTATCCACGTGAGACCCTCTGCCTGACAGGCCGACGCAGGGAAGCCCCCAGTGGGTGGCACGCCCTCCAGCCTTGAAGGGGTGCCCCAAAGCTATCAAAAAAGCACCCCCCGACCCTTCCCCTCGCCCAGCAGCCTGTGCTGACCACTCGGCCTCACTCAAGCGCACACGGCCCTGGCCGTCAGCTACCCGCTGCCCCTGGAAACAGGACTCCTCAGTGGCCATCCGGCCAGCATCAGCCACCAGCTCTGGGGTCTGTCCTCACCCACGCCCAGCCCCACCCAGAGAGGGCCTCGGTGCCGATCTCCATTCCCAAGAGAAGCTGGAAGGAGGTCCATCCCGCTACCTCCCAGGGGTCTTGGGAAGGAGGCCAGAAAAGGAGGGGGCTTGGGTGGCGGGCCCACTCTCTATGGCTCCCAGAGCAGTCCTGACCATGCTCCCCTGGGTGCCAGAGTTCTGACCCTGGTACCTATGTTCTGGATCAAAGAGCCAAGCAGGTGTATTCCGTGCCAGGTCCCAGCGGGGCAGGGGGCTGGGGGAGCTGAGCGTGGACCCGGGGGGCCCGGGCGGCTGGAGAACTCCAGGGCGCAGGATCAGACCAGGCAGCTTGCAGAGGGAGAGCGGAGAGCCCGCCCCGCCTTCCATTCCCCGAGCGGCCCCCCCTTAATGCAGCCCCGAAACCCATCTCCTCCACGTGTGGCCACTCTCCCACGGCCATTATTGGAATCACTTAAGCTGGAAGAGAAGCCCAGTCGTTCTTAATCAGACAGCAGCATTTTGTAGGTCAGGCCCAAGCCTGGGGGCCCAGGAGGGCTTTTGTGCGGAAGCAGTGAGGTCTTGTGGGGAGGGCAGGGGCTCTGGGCAGACGGCTGGGACCAGAGGGGACCAAATGCTTCCATTGGCTGTAGCTGTAAGTGCTGTGGAACTACCGCCACCCAGGCCCGAGTCTGCATCTGCCCGTGTGGATTCAGCTCAGGGTGAGCTGGCCTGGCAATGACACAGCAGGGACACGGGGACGCGGGAGGGCACCAGGCTGCCCCGAGGTCGGGGACACCTCGAGGATCCCAGGAAAGGACAAGTTCAAGGACGCCAGCCCTCTGGAGCCCACTGTCTGCCACAGTCGTGCCCCTAACACCCCGGCCCCCAGCACAGAAACATCCTCCAAGAGGTCAGATTTCAGAGCCAGGGACACGCGGCCCACACAGAGGCTTTGTTTGCTTGAGTGTGGTTGGCGGGGTCTGGGGAGACTGCGAGAACAGACAGAGGGGCAGGAGGAGGGCGGGGGCGCGGGCAGTGAGCCGGCATGGGCAGGCCAGTCTGGGGCTTCCTCCCCTACACCTCCCAGCCTTTGTTCCCAGGCGCGGTCCACTGCGTGTGCAGGGCCCACTTTCCCCGGACAGGGACTGACTCTGGAAAGGACTCCAGCCTGAGGGGGAGCAGCTGCAGGGCCTGCAGTCATCCTGGGAGGAGCTCAGACCCCTTCCCGGCCCGTGAGTGACCGAGGCCCCTGCCCCAGCCTGGGCAGGGACGGAGCCCCCAGGCGCCACTGCTGCCCCCAGGACCCCGTCTCCTTGCCACTTTGCCCGCTCATGGGCCCGCCCCCCACACCCCAGGCCTCAGCATCCTCCTTTACTCACTCCTCCTGCTTCCGAGCCCACCCTCAGCCCACACAAGCCGCCTGCCTCTTGCTCACACCGGCCTTGGAAGAGCTGCTGGCCGGAGCACGGCTGGACCCGGGCACCTGCCACCCTGCCGGCTAGGAACCCCGGGCTCACTTGTTGTACAGGACGATGTCCGGCCGCCAGATGAGCTCAGAGGGGATGCGGATGGAGGTCACGTTCTCGTAGTCAGCGGGGTCCCAGCGCAGCTTATAGTCATGCCACTCCTGGGGGAAGCGGGGTGGGGGGGGCGGTGAGGGGGAGGGGCGGGGGAGGGAGGGGCGGGGGGGCGGGGGGGCTCCCTCCCACTCACCTGCTTCACCCACACATTCGTCGTCATCATCTGGTTCTTCTCATCCTAGGACACAAACGAGAAGAAGGCAGGTCGTGATGCCCTCGGGTTCAGGACACGTCTCTCTGGCCGAGTCTCTTTACCCAAAAGGACGGGCCAGGGCTGAACGTGGCGAGTGGGGGACCTCAGGAGGGAGTGAGCGCCTTGTCCCTGGAGGCAACCAAGCCCAGGATGGCGGGCCCGGAGGGGACTCAGGGCCAGAAGGAAAGTGAGGATAACATTCAACTGACTTCACTGGTGGCCGGGCCCGTCCCCGCCTCCAGCGACCGAAGGGTCTGAGGGGAAGGGAGACGGCGCCCCTTCCCAGGCAGCCGTGCTGGGCCTGCCCACCTGCATTGCTCCGTCCCGGCTGGCGGGGCAGCTGCCCTGCGGATGGGCTCCAGGTGAGCTGGCATCTGCCCCTCCTGCTGCACCAGGGCAACACACTCACTGGCCAAACTGCCCCCCCAGGGCCTGAGCCTCAGGACCTGAAGGTGAGGGGCTAAAACAGGTGAGGTGGGAGCAGGAGACCCAGCAGGCCCCTCTCCAGGTCACTGAGTGGGCACCTGTCCAGGTGAGAAGGGCCGGACCACACACACTGTGAGCTTCCTTCTGGCCTCTGCACCTCCCCCAACTTCACAGCCCTCCCGGGTTCACAGACGGGCAGTCAGGCCCAGCAGAGGCTGGAGGCCTCTGGAGAAGACCGCCAGGCTCCGTGCAGGGACGTAGGGGTCCTCACACCCCACTCTGAACCAGCCTCCAGGGACTATGGCCACACCCAGCCCACTCAGAGGGCAGCTGGGCTTGGGGGCTGGCTCCTTGCCCGAAGTTTGGGGCAGGGCACTCAGCGGCTGATGGGGGGTCCCCTCAGGGAGCAGGGAGCCCATGGGGACCAGAGAGGCAGGGGCTCTTTCCCTGGGGGAAGAGGGACTGGACACGGGACACAGGGTGTGGGGAGCAGCGCCTGAACCAGCCTCCCCCCACTTGCTGATGGCCCAAGCTTTGCCCCCATCTGTCCCAGACCAGGGACACACAGGCCGTTGGGACAACTGCTGAGGCCAAAGAAACCAGGGGTGGTCAAGCAAGCAAAGCGCCCAGGGCTGGGGGTGTGGGCTGGTGTCCCTGGGAGCCTCCCCTCCTGCTTCCCCCAGGGGACAAGCCCCCATCAGCCAGCTCACAGGAGGGGACATCTCCTGCGGCCCAGGCACTGCCCTTGGTCCTGCTCTCTCTCGGGGCCACCTGGGACAGGCTGCCAGAGGACACTGACGATAAGTGTGACTTGAGTGGGGCCCGGACACCACGTCCAACGACCTCGACCTTGGCAGTGCAGCCCTGCGGTGCGGCCCCCATCACCACGTCCCTGCCCTTCCCCCCTGGGGACAGCCTGCCAGGCTCTGCCCCAGCCCCCACCCCCAGGCTCAGAACAAGCTTCTAGGTGGCTGGGCCTGGCCTCCTCCCCTTCGTGCCAGCCGCCCCCCCAGCGCAGCTGTCCCCCCAGGCACCCGTTTGAGGTGCCCTCTGTACATTCCGGCGCCTGCAACGTCAGCCCGGGCCCAGAAGCGCCCAGGAATTCCCCAGCCTCCTCTGCAGGCATGAACTCACACACACAAGTACTCTGCACCGGGGCACAGACCTGCAGCAAACACCCGAGCCCCACAGACAGTGGGGCAGGGAGGCGGCCCCTTCCACAAATGACCAGCACCCAGGATGGGCAAGGACATCTTGTCAGCACACACGTGTGTGCAGGAGTGCCCTTGGCCAGCGTGGCTGCGGACAGCAGAGTCCTGGGCAAGGACGTCTTGTCAGCACACACGCGTGTGCCAGAGTGCCCTTGGCCAGCGTGGCTGCGGACAGCAGAGCTGGGAGCAGCTCCTGTCCTGCCTGGCGCTGCCACGGGGCCTCGGGTGGGTCCCTCGCTGGTGTCTCGGAGCTGGTGTGCTACAGGCTGTCTCTCCTGGGCAAACCGGGGAAAAGCGGTGATGCGGGGCGGATGCTGCGACGTGGCAGGGGGGTGGATGAGACAGCCCCAGGAGCTCAGCTAGGGGGCCAGGCCACGGTGCAGCCGACCCAGATCATGAAGCCACAGCCACCACTGGGAACAGCATTTGCAAATGCAGGGGGTCGGGACCCCTGCCCTCCTGAGTTGTCTTCTGACTGCGCCCCAGCCAGGAGTACTTTACGGGAAGCATTTAAGGCCTGGTTCCAGGAGGCCTGAGGGCACAGGCCAGGGCAGGGGGACTGACCGGGTCTCTCTACTGATGGGGTCCAAGCACGGCCCTTTCTGTCCACGTGAATGTGGCTACCGCCCCTCCCACCTCCCAGAGCCCCTTGGGTGTTGCCAGCTCAGCCCCAGATGGAGCTGTCACACTCATCCCATTTCACAGGTGAGAAAACCAGGGCCCTGAGGGTCACCCAACACACCTGGCATGAGCCAGGAACCAGGGCCTCCAGACTCCAAAACTGGTGGCTCCCCGCTCACGGAGCCCACTTGGGGTTGGGGTCCCGGCAGGGGCGTAGGGTGGGCATTTGGAGAGATCTACAGCCTCCTGCAGCTGCACAGCTCCCTCTGTGGAACCAGAGCTGGCTGGAGACCCCAGCCCAAACCCAGCCGGCCTTGGACCTCCTCGTGGCCAGCAAACCAGGCTCCCAGAGGCCCCCTCCCTGCCAGGCCAGAGCCCACCCTCCAAGGCCCTTGGGACCCTGCCCCAGGCTGTGCAGCTACCACCCAGCCACAGGACGGGCTCCCACCCCAAATGGACGCCCCGGCCCCTCCAAAGCCGTGGCTACTCGGAGGCTGGACCCCCTCCTCCCAGCAGCTGCCTTGGTCCCCAACCAGGAAGGGAAACACATCCGAACCAGGTGGAGGTCCAGGTGCTGCCAGGGTGCCGCACGGCCTCACCTCACCCCACGCAGTAGCACGACTTACACAAAAGCCCTAAACTCTGCCACTGGCCCCACAGAGGTACTTCCTGCTCTCTGCCTCTGAAGATGACAGCCTGGACCCCCTGCTGCAAATCTGGCCCTTTGAGCTTTTCTACATGGAAAGCGCAGGGCTTGGGGGTGTCGCACAGAACCTGCCTTGCCTCCCGGCTCGCTTAGGCGTGTGTTCTGGGCTAAGGCGGGGCTGGGGCACACACAGTCCATGTGCAGCTCCGATGCGGCCCTCCCAGCTCATCCAGCCCCCCTGCCCCCGCCAGCCCCGGGGCCACCTCCAGGCCAGCCCCTCCCAGACACGGGTGCTCCCTTCAGGTCACTGCCCCCCACCCCACCCCCTCATCACCTACCACGTCAATGAGCTGCGCGATAGACAGGCCAAAGTGGACAAGAACTACATCCGAGATGTTGGCCACGGGCCGGGACCACTTGTTGTAGCCAGAGAAGAGCTTCTTCAGCAGCCGCTCCTCCGCGTGAGCCCGGGTCTCCACGTGGCTGCTCACTGCGGGGACCAGCAGGTGCGCGGCTCAGGGGCAGGGGATGGTGGCCATCCAGGATGCCCCCTTGGGCCTCCTGCCAGGCCGTGCTCAGCACCTGGGCTCTCTTCCAGCTTCCCACAGCACGTCCCTCCTACCTCAGGACCTTTGCACGTGCTGCCCTACTTCCAGCCGCAGTTTCTCCCCTACCCCCTGGGTCTGTAAGGGGGTCTGTAACTTCCTCGGGGAAGCCTTCCTAGCATGGTGCCCCTCACCATGAAAGTAGATAACTGGTATGATAAGTGCTGATTTGGAAGCGTCCCCGTCAGGCTGTGACTGTGGGAGGGAGGGACTGTATCTCTAGCCACTAGCAGAGTCCTGAGAACCTTGTCTCAAAGTACAAGGTGGGGGTAACCACAGGACAGGAGGGGGAAGAGGGCAGCGGGGGCAGACCCAGGAAGGGAGATGGAGAAAGGAGAGTGAGGGTCCAGCTACCGAGAGCCTGTTTCCTTTGGCTGTGGCATCCGCAAGCAATCACCCAAGAAAAAAAACGTACTTTGACGTGTACGGGGTACTTTAAGTGCAAACCCCGACAATGAACCTGGCACCCTGTGTTCTTGGACGGACACACAGCCTGCCCTCGATGATCAGGTCTGGAGTGAGCCTGGGGAGGGGACCCCTCATTCAGCCCTGCCCATCAGCCACTCTGTGGTCTGAGGGCTTCCCTGCCACTCCCGGGCGACTTCGCTGGGACCACTGCATGGGGGGGCGGGGGTTTGAGGAGGGGGACAGGAGACCCCTGCCGCTCTGCTCCTCTCAGCTCGGTCCTGCTCACCTGTGAGTCACGGATGGACATTAGGAGGGCATTCACAAGCACCCCTGGGATCAGTCCTAGACCCCCAGGACCCTTCACTCCCAACCCAGAGCCCCAGCCTGGTCCCTCTGACAGTAAGGTGTAGCCTACTCCTCACTGGGGAGGCCAGAGAATTACACTCCACTCACCCCTGAAATAGCAAGGTGGCTTCCCAGGGAGCGGGGAGCAGGGGGGCTAGAACTTCCCCTGTCCCAGTGGGCCTGGGGAAGCAGAAGAGGTTTGGGTGGGGCCCTGCCAAGGGCAGAGGCCACCCCTCTGATTCCCTAAACCCCGGTGCAGGGGGGAGGTGGGCAGGCACCATGCAGTCTGCAAGGAAATTTGGCACAATGGATAACTGGGGGTGGGGGAGGGGGGAGATGGACCGCGCCTCTCTCCATCCAAGTTGGAGCTTCTGGGTCCAGCTCTTGAAACAGCATTCCCCCTCACCCACCCAAACCCTGCCTGGCTCAGCCCTCGCCGCAGGACAGCCTTTTGCGTCTGGAGGGGGGTGGGGTGGGGGTAGCCTCCGCGGCTGCCCCGTTGCGCACCCCCGCGGCTTGGGACCACAGCCAGGAGCCTCCCTTTCTCTAGTTCCGGAGGTCCGAGGCCGCCCTGAACCGGGCGAAAGGGGGTCCTTCTAGCGCCCCGAAACTTACCAGGCAAGAGGGCGGCCCCCAGCAGCAGCAGCAGCAGCGGCGGCAGCAGCTGCGGCGGCGGCGCCCCCGGGCCCCCGAGCTCCATGGCGCACCGAGCGGGCTCTAGATGCGGGCGGCTCCCGGCCCCGCCGCGCCCCTGCTCCGAGCTCCGCGCGAGCCCAACTTCATGTCCCCCGCGCCGCGCGGGCAGCTCCGTCCGCCGGGCCTGCTTCGGCCGCTTCTCCCGCGGGGCGCGGCGGCGGCTACCGCGCCGGGAGCGCGGGGCTGTGGTCTCAGCGGCGCGGCCCCGCCCGGACCTGCCCGCCTCCAGCCGGCGAGGAGGAGGGGGGGAGAGAGAGGAGGGACCTGGAAGGAGGGCGAGGATCGGAGGGGGAAGGAGGGGGAACGGACCGCGAGCCGAGAGGGGGCGCGGAGGCTGCGCTCTGCCCGCGCAGGGCCAAAGTTTCCTTCGACCTCCTGCGGCTGGGGACGTGCCCGAGCCACGAGTGGGGGCCCGGTAGTCACTGCGTGCGTCTGGGGAATCCCTGCGCGGTCTGGTTCGCGGACCACGAGACACTGACCCCCTCCAAGTCCCCAGCCCAGCGCCTCCAACGCCTGCCTGGAGGGAGGACGCGCACCCAGGGTCTCCGGGCGCCAGGAGGGGAGCCCCGCACGGTCTGGTTAACTTCATCACCCCCGCCCCGCTCTGCAGTTTGGAAATCACAGGTCTTCCCCAACCAGGCGTTCAGGACAGAGTCCACCCCCATCGGCCTGTCCCTGGCGGACCGGGAAGCGTCCAGGGGAGCCTCGGCCCCGCGGCCCGCCCTTCGGGGTCGGAGAGGACCCTAACGCCCCCGCCCCGGGCGAATCCTCCTCTTGCTGCCTCCAGGTCCGGCCTGGGCCGGGGTCCGCCGCCCCCAGCTCTGCGCGGCCTGCGAATGGGTGGCCTGCGCCGGCGTGAGGGCAGCCCCCATCCCACGCGCGGTGGGCAGCGGCTGAGGGGCGGCCGCGGAGCGCCTCGGGCCCAGGTGCCTGGAGAACACACCCTTGGCGCCCCCGGACTAGTCTTGAACAATGTCGGCCGCAACCGAGATGCCCGGGCAGCGCGCTGGACGACCCGGCAGGGGCTCCGCCCTCAGGTGGGTCGAGGTGGCCGCTGGCAGAGCAGCAGGTGCTCGGAGGAGGGGCCGGGAGGGGCCGCTTTGTGCGGCGGAACCACAGTCTGCGGCGCACACACTCGTCGCCGCTCCGCAGAAACGCGAGCCCCGTAGCCATCCCTGTTCGCCGTGCGCCGGGGGCTCTGCGGGGGCGGTGGGGGGAGAACCCAGCCTCCAAACCGAGACTTCGGGTCCCGGGATGGAGGCAGAGAAGGAGGGGCTGGAGCTGCCCCCGCGCTCCTCCTGAGTCGGCGCCCCGCCCCTGAGGGGGCTGAATGCGGGTCACGAGCCCCTCGTCCCCGCCCCTCACAGGCGATGCTCGGCAAGTAGCAGGCTTGGTCCCGAGGCAGCAGTTTCCGTCAGCGAAGGCCCCGCCCCTCCGCATCCCCCGACCCCGCCCCTCCCAGCTGGTCTCCTCATCTCCCTTCCCCCTCCCCCATCGCCTCTGCCCCTCCCCCATCGCCTCTGCCCCTCCCCCAGCTCTCACGCACTCTGGTCCCAGGTTTAGCTCATCACACCTCACAGAATTGCTCTGAGGCCTCCAGGGCTCCCCTCTCGGGAGCTGTCTATAGGCTGGTGCCTATAAATAGAGCTTTCCAAAAGCTTGGCCCTGAGCAGTGGCCAGTGTCAACAGTGACGGTCGCCCTCACCCTGTCCATGGGCTTCCTAGATGCTGGCCCAAGCCACTGAGGCACGGCTCTCACAGCATCCCTATGAGGCAGGCTCTTAGGTTACCTGTGTGTCCCAGTGAGGAAATGCGCAGACAGAGGAGTTACCCCGCGTGCCAAGGTGATGCAGTCACTACCGGGGTTCCAAGCGGGCCCTCTAGCTTCAGGGTCTGCACCCTGGCCTCCCCGGCCTCAGGCATAGCATGTCCCAGGGCTGGCCTGTGCCCCTACAGACTGGAGCTCCCCAGGGTCTACCCTGCCCTCTGGGCGACCTCCTGGGCTGCCAGCCCCAGCACACAGCCCGCCCCGGACCAGCCCACAGACTCGCTGGGAGCCTGCTCTGGTTTGTGGCCTATTCCTGCTGGCAAGCCCCCTCTTACCCTTTCCTCCCTCTCAGCCCCCACCCCCAGTGCAAACCCTGGGTTCCTCTCACACCCTTAGGCCCCTTCCCCGAGCCAGCTCTGCACCAGGAACCAGAAGGTTCTCTAAGGTGAAGAGTTGCACTGAACCAGGAGCTGGGGAACAGGCCCGGCCGACGGTTGACTGCGCGCAGGGGGGTGAGGAGGGCCAACCCCGACCCCCGCCTCTCCTGGACGGCTCCCCACACACAGCAGAGCACTCGGCCACACGAGGCTCAGAACCTGCGAAGCCCCCCCTCACAGAGAAGGGACGGTGGGCGTGGGGGATGAGCCCTGGTGACTCCCGGCGGGGTCCCTTGTCTGCCCCTGCTCTGTGCTGTCCCAGGACAGAAGGTACCTTGCTCAGCGACCTCTCCCGGTGGTAGAGGCCAACCACGCTCCAGGCCTCTCTGAAGTCTCCTCTAACCATCTCAGCACCTCTGGGAAGCAGGGCTTCCCTCACTTGGCAGCGCAGGAAGGTGAGGTATGGACGGGGTTTCTCTGGCTCAAAAGGCGAGATTGTCTTGTCCCGTTCCCCTGTGGCAGTCTGCACGCCTTTCGGGATGGGCATGCTTCCTCAAGCCTCTGCCTTTAGGCTCATCTCTCGGGACTTGTGAAATCTGGGTGCTCCTGAGAATGTTAGGCTGAAGTCAAGAGGAGAGAGGGTGATCTGGCCCAATCTGTGAAGGCTTCCTGGAGGAAGGGGCACCCAGGAATGCAGCCCTGGGGACTGTGGACATCCACTCATAGCCATGCACAGGGAATCACCTGGGAGTCTGCTTAAGTTCCAGACTCTGGCACCCCACCCTCAGAGGCTGCTCAGCCTGGGCCGAGGCCCCCATCTCCATCTGCTGACAGCCATCCCCAGGCAACCCTGATTCAGGAGGCCTCGGACTTTAAGAGCTGATTTGGCCCAAGCACTTGGGCAGAAGATCTGGCCAGGCCCCCACCCAACCTGGCATCCTGGCCTGGGCCGGGTGCTGGCGTCGCCCGGTGGCTGAGACTGAACAGGGAGAGAGGCCTGGGCTCTCGGCAGGAGCCTGCAGCTGCTCACAGCCAGGTCAGCTCTGCATCCCTTCCCTGCACCGGGGCCAGCTCACGCAGTTGAGAAGGTGGGCCTTAATGGCCATTCCCACGGGTGAGCGCAGCCAGAGAGCCCAGCAGGCCCATCCCTCCTGGCGCTCGAGGCCAGACTGGGGTCAGCACGGTGCTTGGGGCCCCGGTGGACCCAGGGGGGCGTCGCATGCACACGTTCACACACATCTGTCCAACCTTGTTTGCCTTTCCCCACAGACTTGCTAATGCAGCAAGACGAATCGGGCCTAACTCATTACTTTGCACAGCCCTCCCTCCCCACCTGTGCCCGGCTGGGAAGCACTCATTGCAGGAAGCTAGTCATCATCTAGTCCTGTCGTAGGAGCTGAATTAGTGCTTACTCCAGGCCGCCAGGCCCCTCCCTCCCGCTGCTCCTGAAACTGCTGTTTCAGAGGAAAGGAAAACCCCCAGTTCATACACGACTGAAAACGACTTTGGGGAACAGGTGCCTCCGTGCCCCTGCGTCCTGGAGCCTTTGTGGCAGTAATGGTGCCCTCTGAGCTGATCCCGGGTGGGGGCCGAGAGGAGGAAGGGTGTGGAGCAGGCCCCCGAAGACCCCTCCCCGCACGCTCCCCCCGGCCGGTGCCAGGCTGCTGGCCAGTGTGAAAAGTCTTCTCTGCGGAAACGGCCTTCCCCTCTCCCTCTGCTGCCCTCTCCAGCCTCCACCCTGTCCCAAGGACATTGCCATGGTAACCAGTTGTTGGCATAAACGGGGACTGGAATTAAAGGTGGGTCTTAGGTTGGGTCCGGGGCTGAGGGAGGCAGGAGGGCAGGCCTGGGAGGCGACGGGGGTTGGGAGGGTGGGGGGAAGGGGGGCGTCAGCAGCAGACCCCACGTGAGCCCAAGGGCAGCGCTGTGAGCTCAGCGGGCCAGGAGGAGGTGTCCTGCCTGCACACCCGCACCCCTGGGGGACTTCCTCCTCCAGCCCTTCAGCCAGGTCCAGCCACAGGGGAGGGGTGGCTGATGGACCCCCTCCCAGGCCCGCCCTCCTGCTTCCCTCAGCCCCGGACCCAGCCACGCAGGCCCTTTAAGACCCAAACACCCTTGAGAGGGGCCACGTGAAAAGCCCGGTGCTCCCACATGGACTGTGGGGATAAGCTTCTAGCCCCCCCACTTCTCGCCCCCCACTTCTGCCCCGTGGCCATGCTTTGCCTCTCTTCCTAGTACCCTTCACCCCCTTGATGTCACATCTGTCGGCCCCTCCCCTGCCCCCACCCCCCACCAATAATGGAGGATTCAGGCTTTGCACACATGCCCGGCACGTAGTAGGGCTGGTAAACGTGTTGAACGCGTGGGTGGATGGATGAGTGGGTGAGTGGGTGCCTGGCAAGAGGGCATAAGGGAGGCTGGGTCCAGAGGGGGCCCCTGTTGCGTCACACATCAACCCCACCCTGGCTGAACCCCACACACTCAGGCTGAGAGGATCCAGGTGTTTGGGGCTGGTGCTGGGCATCTGGGCAGGTGCTACCCAGGAGGGAGGGATGGTGGCCACGTTGGGCCAGGCAGGAGTAAGGATGCTGGGATCTGGGGAGGGTTCAGAGACTGTCTGTTCCTTCCGCATCCTTTCCCCATCATCCATCAGGATTGGATCTGAAGTGAACCTACTGGCCTCACCGCCCTGGGGCCTCGCAAGCCACCCTGCCCTCCCTCAGGTCGGAGATCGCGCCCACCCCCCGAAGCAGCCCCCGCAGCCCGTCCTGCAGTGGGACCTCCCCACACACACACAGGGGACCACGCCCCACCAGAGCCCCACGTGGGCCCTGGCACCATCTCTCGGGGGCTGTTAGGAAGATCCTGGCCTGACCTGGGATCGAATCTCTCAGTGGGAGCCCTGGTCCAGCACACACTACGGTGAGGCCCCGAGGAAGGGGCACTGTGTCCAGCCCCCAGGTCACTCTGACTGCTACATGAAAACACATATCCATCCTCCTGGGCCAGAGGCCTCGCCGTCAAGTCCCCCAGGCCCCTGCAGCCTCCCAGCTCTCAGCACCACGGACAGCGACACCCCCCAACCCCTCTGCCCCCCACACACACCCCCCTCCAGCCTCAGTCGTGACCAAGTGCCTTCCCTGGGGCTCCTGGGAGAAAGCCCATATTTGAGTCTCTCTCTTTGCCCATTTCTTTCAGCAAAAGTTTTGAAAGCCATCAAGTGCAGGAAGAATGTGAGAATCGGGGCCATTTCTCCAAAGGGGACGTGCCGTCATCTTCCCCCACTCGCAGGTGGGTCCAACCAGGCCTCTTAGAGAGATGCCCTTGCTGACCAGCCAGAGGCCACATCGACGCTGGGACCAGGGGTGGGAGAGAGGGGAGAGGGCAGCTGAGAGGCCTCGAAATCATTGAACGTTCTCCTTGCAAGGAGGAGTGGACAGTAGCGCAGAGGACCGAGACACCGGCCAGTCCTCCTCCAGGTTCTGGATTTCAGCCACGAGCCCAAGCTGTGCTGTGCCAGGATCAGGACCTGCTGCCCCAGCAAGTTTCCTCGTTGCCTGTGTCCCTGATGTCCCACAGCCCTGGTGGAGGATTGTGCTGTGCAGAGCCAGACATGCTGACAGGTGCCCTTCCTGCCAGCGCTCTGCAGGGCCCCTTCTTCCTCGGAGCCAATCTGGCAGGGACTCCGCCCCACTCCCCCACCTTCAGGGGCCCCGCTGCCGTAGCCGGGATTCCTGTGAGCTGGACTTTGTCCTACGACACTTTGCAGCATCTTTTCAGATGGTATCGATCCACCTTTGGCCAGCCTCCAGTTTCACAGCTCCACGTGCCTCTGCCTCCCACCCCACCCCCACCTGCCTCTCTGCTAAGTAGTTAATTATCTATAAACACACTCCAGAGGAGGGCGAAGCACTCCTCAGGGTGAGGAAGCAGCTGGGGATGAATGGGACCCCTGGCCCTCGCGTCTGCCCCCAAGTGTTATGTTGGGCCAGCAGGCGTGGCGGGGGGGTGGGGGTTGGCGACCCCTGCCGGCTGGCACCTCTCTGAAGCTCCGTTTCCCCAGCTGTTAAGTGGGGATGGTAACAGTCCCCGCTCATGGGGCCGTCGTGAGGGTGGAGGGGTCGGGTCGGCCGGGCACTTGGTACCTGGCTCCGCATCTGGCTGGTGCTGAATGGCTGCTGCTGCCGCTGAAATGACCCTTAAATAGGAGCCGCCTGGCCGTCGCCCTTTTGCTCTCAAGGGAGGCCCCTGCGCCGACGGCTAAGAGCTGGAAGCCGGATGCAACTCAAGTGCCTTCA